CTCGGCCGAATGTTTGCTCATAAATCATTTCGGAGCTGAATGCTGAAAATCTTTGGGTGATAAGAGCTCTGCTTTTTTGGATGCTCTGGGCTTGGCATTATTCAAAATGTAAAGCATTTTTTCCTGCTTCCTTTGATAAATTAACCACAAAGGTTATCAAACAAGTTCACATTATACTTTATGCTTGGGTTTATAAAAGCAGCTGAAAGAAATCATTGTTGGTAAATGTAAAGCTTAGATTGATGAATGTTCCCTTGAAATTTCACGCGGCAGTTATGTAAGTTTATGTTGCTCACAAGCAAATCAGTTTTAATGTTTAAATTAGCTGTCATTACATAACATATTTGTAGGAGAAAAATACACACAATCTTCAAAAACATATTTATTTAGATGTTAAATTTTTATTACCAGTAAAAGTATTAAACATGTTGTTTTGGAAAATACTTCCTAGCTTGATGATTTTGATTTGTATCACATCGTTTGCTTTTTAGGGCAATCAAAATGTGTTATAAAATACGTTTTAAATAACACGTTAAATGTGATACAAATAGCTTATATCACAAACGTTTTGATTTGAATCACATCGTTTTCTTTTTTAGGGCAGGCGAAATGTGTAAAATACGTTTTTTATCCCCAATAAAAGAGCACTTATTCGTCTGCCATTTGCAGCCAAGCGTCGTTTCTTTTACTTCCCCTTTTGTACATAATTAATTTATCACTTGGCTCTCATTTTTATCGCATCGGATGTCGCAGGACCTTCATTTCCCGCCGCTCTCCGCTGGAGGCCGGACCCAAAGTGACCCGTAATTGCTTTAAATGCCATTACGACACTTACGCACAGAGCACCGCTGGAGTTTTGGAACTCAGAGTTCGGAGTGCGGACCATGGCGATTGTCCACGTTCTGTGTCTGGCTGTCAGCCAGAATTGCAGGGCCAAGGGCATCGGCACTCGGTCTTTAATTTCCCTCGCTGCGCCTGCAATTGTTTTCGCTTTAAATAATTAAATTAAAGTGGGCAGTCAACTGATTGAAGGAGGCCCCGGTGGAGGAGCTCCATTACTCTTCACTGCCACTCGATGCAATTGTTTTTCGGCTGGGGAAAAGAAAAGAAAGAGGAACTGCAAATCTGAGCAGAAACGAGCGAATCGAGCGAAGTCAATGACCTCTAACCTGGTGCAATCAGCGTAATTAAGGCAGCAAACGGCAATGGCTTATAAATCATTTATTGCCAAGACATTATCGCCATCGACGGCTGGTACACGTAGCCAGCCGACTCCTTAGCCCACTCCGCCCCCTTTGAGAACTCGTTTTGCACAAATTATGCTACGGAACGCGTTAGTCTATGACAGATTGTATCTGCTAGATACAGCATATCCATCGTAGATGCCGACGTGCCGGCGCAGCTTTTATGCTGCACGTACCGCACGTATCCTCCTCATCCTCCTTTTCTATCTCGAGCTTGGTGTCAATTTATGGTCCGGGTTAAATTCAACAAAATAAAAATGATTCCACACCGACTTTGGACCAGCTGGGTGCTCGGTTCTCGTGGCCAACATCTTGTGCAAATCTCATTTATCTGCGGCTTTGCCTTAGTCACACACGAGTTGGAGTTTCTGCCGCCACATAGCATTGGATACGTGTCAATGTGCCTGCTGCTTGCTGCTTGCTGCTTGGCAAATGCACTTTTGATATATTGGCTCTGGGCTTATTGGTTTTCCATCTGGCGCACATCATCGCGACTGCTGGGTTATTTGGCTGGGCGGTGGGGATTGGGGCTCTTGATTTACGGCCTCCTATAAATTTCATAGCGTTTGACATGACAATCGAGGGATGTCAACAGAAGAAGACGACAAGCGGCATGGAAATCGGATATCCCCGTGTGTATGATCTCTTTGGGGCGTGCAAATCTAGCTAAAACGGATTGCGTTACTCAAATTAGCCTCGTGTTTAATAACTATTTTGCACAATTTTCAACTATGAGGCTCGAACGGTTGTTTAATATTTTATTAGCAATAAAAAGTTTATGCTTTTACTAACGGCAGAAAATGTTTATAGGAATATTAAATTTTATAATGCTGAGTAATAATTATTTATGATAAAAAGTAGGTTGTAAAGGCTATTACTATTAATGTGTAAGTTATTCAGCCTTAGTAGAATCGTTCTTGACCAAAATAGTTTTTTTAGGCATTACCAATTTAAGTTAAATTAAATAGCATGGCCAAAAAGAGTATTAGTTGGTACGACCTACTCCAATTTAACCACAAATCACTTCGAACATGTTTGACAACTGTCGTCGGATAACGGCTAAATCGCCATAAAAGTGTATAATAGCCATATAGAGGGCCATGCCTTGTATTACCACGATTGTGGTTTTGGCCAGGCTATGATCTCGGTCCTGCTGGCGTTCAATGTAGTTTAAGGCAATCTCCAGACGAGACTTGCGGCAATCTCTTGGGCAACGATTGCTATCTGGCCAAGCCTTTGTGTATATAGTATAGCCGTACTATATGTGCAGAGACATTCTTGTACATGAGTCATAAATAATGTGCAATGGCATGGCCATGGTCGTCACCCAGACGTGACGACGCCTCCTCCTTTCCCTGCGGGGCCCTCTTCCCTGGAAGCATATTTTGAGGAAAAATAATTTTTGCCAAGTTAATTTGCCATTTCCGGCAACGGCTGCTGTCAGCTTCCGTTTTGGTCTTTGCTGGTTTCGTTGGCTCCCTTTGCACCTGAGCATGCTTAATTGAATTTCGCATTTGGCCAAAATTAACAGCCGGTGCAGCTGAAGAGTTTGTTTATTTTGAGGGGCTCTTCTGGCTATTTCTGGCCGGGCTGACAGGGGTCAGTGTTTGGGATGCTGTGCGTGCCAGTGTCTGCGCACTTGAAATGGCTAATGGGGAGCGGTGGCATGTTGCCGCTGGCATTGCTTGCTTTCTGCCCCAGACTCCGATGCACCATGCATCTTCCAGTGGCGCACTGTACGTCAAAATGCGGCCCCGTTGCCATAAAATTGCCTGAATTTAGCGCTAGGTTGCCGCCGTTTCTCTAGCCCATCTCCACTTGCCTGGCAGCGGTCCAGCCTTGTCCCCATCTCCATTTCCATCTCCGCCTCTATTCCATCTCCGACTGGATCTCCATTCCTGTCTCCATGCCCGTCTCCATTCCCAGCTTCCATCGCCCATGTCAAGTGTCTTTGCTCTGGGCTTGTTAATCTACGAGTGGCTGCCGCTTCTGCTTCTGATTCTGCCTCGGTTGCTCGGCTGCTTGGCTGCTTGGTCTTCCTGGTAGTTGCTGTTCCCCGGGCTTTGTTTTCATTACCGACCAAGTCCACATGGCGGCCTATTAACCCTTTACATGGTGGTGATGCATATCTGCATCATACCGTTCAAATTCAATTATTTTTCAACGGGCATTGCAAAACTGTCTGAAATCTTTTTAATGCAGTTCAGAAACTTTCGTTTTTTATATAACAAGTGTTAGTCAGTCAGAATTCTGTCCAATATTCAACAGCTGATTACTTTTCTCGCCAATTTGGTAAATGTGGAAATCTGAATTGGTTGTGCAGTTTCTCATCCAAATATAAATAACAAAAAAAAATGTGTAGTTGATTTAATTTATATTTTTAAACAAGTAAATATTATATTTAGCTATATCTTGTCGAGTTTTTGTGTTTCTTGCATTATAATACGAATAAATCAACAATTTCGCTTTGTTGCAGATATGCATCAAAGTAGCTTAACACATAAAAAAATACTGCAAATTGTACGAACTTCACTGGATTCTCCCAAACGGAGTGCGAAAAATGTGTAGTTTTTTTATGTTTAAAAAAAAAAAATAATTGCTTTAAAAAATTTAATTTAAATTGACATATTTAAAATATAAATTACTATATTTTAATATTGAATGAATGTTATTATCTTTCTAAAACACATATTAAAAAAATTTTCCTTTTAAGACCTTTTGATGCAGAAATGCATCACACCCCTTTTGTAAAAAAAATAAGGTAAAACCAAAAAAAATTAAAAAACTAAAAAGAAGTGTATTTTTTGTTTTCACTTATCTACCAAACAAAAAAAAAAATCAAGAAAATCGGAGTTATTGCCATGTAAAGGGTTAAATGCAAAAAGTGCAGACAGCCAGAAAGACAAACGGTCGCCGTTCCCCATTCGCTCCCTGCGATTCCACAAAACTGGCCGCCACTGTCACGAGTATTAAATATGCAAGTTGCAGGAACTCCGATGCCGCTTCTACCGAGGCTGCCCAACTCCATGGCATGTGGCCGGGTTATTAAAGTTAATTACAATTTTTCATGGCATTCGTTTTTTCTCGTAACGATAATTCAGATTTTTTAATGCCATGTCCTTGCTTTTGTGGCGATTTTTCCACTCTATTAATTTTCGCGTTGATTTATTTGCGGCATCGCATAGCTGCCGCTTCCTTTGTTTACAGACTGTAAAAATCGGCGGAGGAGCGATCGCCATGTGGGCCAAATTGAAACTGAATCGATGGGTGGAATGGGCTTGGCCGTTGTAAATCTCGGGGGAAAATCCAGTGGAGGAGCAAACTGGAGCAGACACGCAGATGGGCGGGCATGCGGTTTCTATTAGATTGCATGAAAAGCCTTTGATTATCTGCTGATGATAGTGATCGATGCTCGCATTAAATGGCCGGAGATAAAAGCCGCCTCTGATCTCGTCGCGGATTATTGAAAACAGATTACCAGAATACCACTTCGAGCATAAATTTTTAGTAGTAGTTACGATGAAAGAAATATCCCAACGACTTCTATAAAAGTAGCAATTGTGAGATAAAAGAGCCCCTCTCAACTAAATGTTAAATTTATCTAATAATGAAAGAAGTGTAAATTCAAATTTAAGAAATTAAATGAAAATTCTTTGTCAAGATAGAAGCAAATATTTAAAATAATTGAATGTATAATATTAAGTACGAATATATTCTTTAATTAAATACCTAATTCGTATTCTCCTCTTGTTTCAGCTGAAAGCGACCTGCTAACCTTTGCACAGCGCAAGGATCACTACGAGACGGACAAGTCATTCCAGCAGGAGCTCTTCACGGGCGAAACGCGACCTCTGAGTGTCCGGAAACTCTACACGGAGGCTGGAAAGGAGCTGCCGGTGGCCACTGGAGCCACGGCGGTGGCCCTCGCCTCCTTGGCCCACTCGCAATCTCTGATCCCGACCCGCTCCATCTCCTTCAACGGCGAAGTGCTGTCCAGCGACAACGAAGTCCTACAGTTGAACGGATCCTCGGCAACGGAGGATCACTTGCTGTGCGTGTCGGACTTTGGTAATGCCAACCGAAAGCTGCGCACGCGCATCGATGCCGAGATCGAAATCCGTTTGGTGAGTACCTAGCCATTTTAGCCATTTTGCCGGGTTAACTGGTTCCGTTGGCAACTGGTAACCGTTAGAGGCCAGTTTCTGGTTACAGGTACTCGGTACCCGGCCTGCAGTTATGCTCCATGCATAAATAATACGTTTGTTGAACGGCCCAAAAACAAAAAACCCGGCCAAACCACAAACTAAGACGACCTCTCCGTTGTGTGTGTGGTCTGTGCGGCTGAGCACTTCCATCTTTTTACCAGCTGGTTTGCCACCAAAAGCTAATGCCAAATCCCCCTTTTGCGCCGGCCAACTGTCGTCGGACACAATCTGGTCCACATGGCCCACACGGGCACCCAATCATTGTCATGGCTCTTTGGTGCTGACGATGATGACGGCGGCTGAAACGGGAACGGGAATGGGTGCACAGAGACCACACACAACTCTGTCATCCATCGCCTATCTGCAGTTTGCTAATGGCCGACGAGGAGCAGCTCATGGCATGACTCCATCAACGGCGCAGCAAATCATTTCGAGTTAGTTGACTCGTTTTAATTGCTCAACTGGCGTCCCACGCCATTGTGGCTTCGCAAACTGTGATGCGGCCGTTGGGAAAGATTTTGCAGTCTGCATTTTGGCCTGAATAAATCTATTAGCTCTTGACAGTTTTATTAGAGAACCTTAATTAGACATTGTTGAGTTGAATACGTCATTACTTTACTTTATTATTATTGAAGGCAAGTAATTGTTTTGAAATTATGTAGTAGGGAAAAAAAGTAAACTCTTAAAATCTATTCATTCGTTAGCTTGCAGAATTTAACATCTCCACCAAGCGCTTCAACTTAAACCCATTTGAACTGAACTGGAGATTGAAGTAATTCTTGGCAAAAACAGAGATTTTTTCGTCGCCAGTTCTTTGAGCTCATATCAGAAAATTGCAGTTAATTTGAGCTAACGCGCTTTGCAGTCGTCCCATTTGGTCTCCGACTTTGTTGTCGTCGTCGTCGCCGTCGTCGCTTGTTTATCTTTTAGCCGGGCCATTAGATAAGCTGCGCAAAGACAAACAGCCAATGGCCAATATCTGCAGACGGGGATGCCAATGGCAACCAGCAACCAGCAACGAGCAACTAGCAGTAACTCCGGCACAAACAAAATCGACGCGACAACGACAGCAACAACAACAACTCGGATCCCTGCTCAATAGGTTGCCAAACTTGTTTTGGCAAAAACAACGCCGGTTGTCAATCCCAGTCGACTGTCGCCAACTCTCCTCCTTGTCCTTCCTCTTTTTCCTTTTTTTTGCCATCCAGCTCCATTCTGTCGAAGGCTTCTTAATAAAATGACTTTTAATCCTTTTCGCATTGCGTTTGACGTTAGTTGGCCTCGGCCTTCCGCTCCGATACACCCCAAAAAAAAAAGAGAGATCCCCAAAGAGGAGATCCAGACCACAGACCGGAGTCCAGGGACCAGAGTCAAAGACAACTGAGCTGGCCATTTGCGCTCTGCGGTTTATTGGTTACGGCAGCAACTATCTCCAAGATGGCCCATTTGGGTGACTTGTGTTCCTGTTGTTGCTGTTTTTGTTGTTGCCGTCTTGACGGCACTTAAATTGCATTATTATATACGGCTCGACATTTATGTGCAAATATTTTATCGTTAAAAGTTGGCCACATTTGCTCCGCCTCATCCATTGACGGGGAAAAGGCCGCAGAGCCGCTGAAAAGAATTTGGCTGCTGCCACGAAAGAAAGGAGAAAGAGCCCAGACTGAGACTCATTGTCGGTTTCAGGCATTTCTTTATGGTCCGAACTGCCTCACTTTGGCCATTGGAAATCTAGCTCAAGTGTTATTTTATGTAGATTTTCCATGGCGTGGGTGGGTGTTACTGGGGCAACGAGGGGATGGAAAACCGCTGAGTTGGGGGACTATGTAAGTCCCCCATTCCTCAGTTATTTTTCAATTGTTACAATTGATTCGGGCAGTCGAACCGAAAATCAAATGAAACGATTGCGCTTTTTCTTTATGCGCGTAATTCACTTAAGACCAGCAGACAATTCGAATCCGGGGAGTGTTTTTCAGGGCGAAGAGAAAAACATCGGGTCTAAATTGTCCCTCCAATTTATTTATATACTTTTCTTTGACTTTTATGGATTGGAATTAATTTTGTTTGTCTAAAAACGTAAACCTATTTAGAAGTAGATTTTTATCCAATGTTTTCTTACTTCGTAAAGGGAATCATTGAAGTATAGTTGTTTTCTGTGTAGCCAAACAATTTCCACCAAACGTTGTAGTGTTTAAAACTTGATTTTCAACTAGAGCAAAGCTGTTAGGTGTTTCCCTTTTTCCGAAAGCTAACTGCCATTTCCCTTTATTGTTTTTAATTAGGCTGATTGATTTTCGCTTTCGTAACACAGTGTAGAAACGCGTGTTACATTTTGGAAGATTTAAAAATCGCGTGACTTGTCCCAATTTGCGGATGCATGGGGAATGTTTGCGCAAACAGAGCACAAAGTGGCAGCGCACATTTCTCATAAAAGGATATTCGTGACAGGCGGCTCTCCTGTGCGGCTAATTAAGGACCTGTCCACCGCAACATGAAGCATACATACGTGGAACATAAAACAATATTTTCGCATTCCAAATGCTTAAATAAGGCGATGTTTTAACTCTTTTTCCTGTTTTTTCCCCTCCTTTCAGCCCGCCGCCATCGAGGATCTGCGGAAGTGGACGTCCAGCGAGGCGCTGGGTGACGTCACCGTCACGCCGGATTGCATGCACCACGTGGACACCTCGGTCAGCACCTCGCTGGTCATCGGCGAGAACGGCATCCTGACTCCGGCCCTGTCTCCATCCGTCCTCTCCGCCGACGCCGTCGATGCCCTCTACGCCCAGAATCTGAGCCAGGCGGCCGACAGCTCCCGGCACAACCACCATCCACAGGCCCTCATCCCGAACGATATCAATAAAGATGTGCCTTTGAACCATCGCTTGCCTTCACCCGAGGAACAAACCAAACAGATTGCCTTAAAGTGAGTACTCTTTAATGGAAATAAGCCTTTGCTTTAACTTTATTTGTGCAGATTGAAGATTTTATTTAAATGTAAATTCTAGAAGCAGTTTTTATAAGAACTCCTTAAAACCGATTCAAATTATTGGCTTTAATATGCAATTTTTAAACTAAATCCCTGACTTTATAATCTTCTTAACTTACCTTGCAACAGTTTCAGAAGCACTTTACTAGCTTAACAGTTTTACAAAGACTTTAGCTGGCCTATCGTTTTTCTCCAATTTTCAACACGATTTTAATGCGTTTTTTATGCAAATTTCGCGGCAACTATTGTTTGTTTTTCTGTTTCATGACGCACAAAAAGAATAGCTATTAAAAGCGTTGTTTGTTGCTGCTATACATTTTTTCAGCGCCCGATTGTCAGTTGCGTTTGGAGCACGAGATGTTTGCTCAGCGAGCGCATCGCTCCAACAAAAAATGCTTAAATAAATTAATTCAATTACGTATGAATATTTACAATGCGGCCAGGCCACACAATTATGCAAGTGTCGCCGACCCCGCGCCCTGCCAATCCATTGGCCAATGGACACGCCCGTCTCTGATATCCCGGCCATGGCTCATTTGTTCGGCTTTTTAAAATGCGGCAACTCCGAAACGGAGCAGCCACAGACGAGCCGTATTTACGCTCCACTGATTTGGAGCACGAAAAATGTGGTTGGGTGGCTGGTATTAAAGCGTAAACAAATTGTTGTTTGGATAACCACAAAAGTGCACTCCAAACTGTGCGAGGTTCCCATTCCGCCGGCAGATCGATCAGTCCGCATCTGCAGGCACTCGAAAAAACATTTCAGTTTCATAACATATGAAACAGAGTTTTCGGATTTTATATCATTTAATAAAGCTTATTTTGTATTTTCACTACCTGCTTTTATGTTATGTATTGCTTTTATTGTTATGTAACCCAATTGGTTATAATTTGTAATTTAAAATAACAAAAAGGCAGCGAACGTTCACATCATCAGGCCCTCACAAAAATGCATCGCTTTTATAACTTTTTTGATTTTAAGGAATAAACAATGTTTATTGTTTTTGTGTATACATTTGTTATTTAAATCTTTTGATCGAGCGTTGCTGCATATCTTTTGTTTAGTATAGTTATAGTAATAGAAACTTTTAAAAAAATAATTTTTGGTTAATGACTTGGGAATAATTTGTACATTTTCTAAATTATCTTATGTTGAAAATTCTTTAAGTCTTTTTAATCTTTCAAACATCTGCAACTCAAGGTCTCATTAAAAATTGTTGTATAAATACACTAACAATCTAGATCTGAAAATTAGATTGCCAGAAGTCTATTTAGGGCAGATCTTACAAAACAATAGCTCTTTAAATCATTTTAAAATCATGATAAATGGCGTAGCTAAACAATTAATGTGTTCTCCCGCCCACAACAGATACCCCGCCGAATTGATTTCGGTGAACACCAGCGGGAAGCACTTCCAGCGGATGTGTGCGGCTCGGAAGTCCACCAGCGGAGGATATGCGGGCGGAACCACGGCCGGATCCTCGAGCAGCACCTCGCCGGAGAACGCCGGCCAGGCGGAGGGCAACAACCTGGACGACAACGTGCAGACGGTCAGCCGGAGGTCAAGGTCGCGGAAGGTGCGCGGCAAGCGGCGGAACACGATAGCCGGAATCGACCAGAAGGAGATCCAGGATGCGGCCAATGGGTATGTGATCGCAGCTCTCTACCGATCCGTCTTTATGTGTTTCCATATACGGATTCGGACCTGTTACTTCCTTTCCCACTTTCGTTCGCCTCTCGAACTGTACATAAAGCCATACTAAACCTCGTATATACATGTGTACATACACCCTGGATTAGTTCCCCACGGATCTTTCCAGAGATCCCCGTCATTTACAATCGTATTATCCGACTTATTCTCAATTGCATTTTCTTATGAGATTATTGTGATCAGCCCAGTTAGCTGAACAATTTGTTATGCTGTTTAGTTTTCTTCGTTTGCCTAATTTCGTGTACTTTAATTGCGCCTTTTTTTGTTTAAACAATTGCCTGGCCGACTGTAAAAATCGGAGTATTACGCCATTAACTATTAGCGTATACATATATATTATTTGCCCAATTAGCAGCACAAATTGCATGCCACCAACTGAATGTGTCTAAATTACGATTAAACTAAAATTGAATGTTGTACAGAGAAAAATTGTAAATAAATTGTGTTCATTAGCCGTACGTAATTAGAAACTCTAGCCAAATTCAGATTTCAGCCGCCTTTTGTTGCGAATTTGAGTTCGAAAACGATTTGGCAGCGGAAACTTAATGCCTTTTTGGATGATTTTCAAAAGCGAGTTTGCAAACAGCCTAACAAATTAAACAAATTTTCAGCAGCCGCATAATAAATAATTTTCTTAACACACATACACACAGTCATACACCTCATGATCCATCCGAGACACCCACCCCAATCGCCGCCCCCGCATTGTTATCCTGGTCGCGAACCACCCACACACATCGGCAACATTTGTTGCCAGCAACATTGGAGCTTGTTGGCCAGGTCTGTCAGTCAGTCGGCCCACTACTCTCGGCCATTTTCTGGTGCATCATCAGCATAAATCATGCGAGAGAGGCTGGAACCGTAGGATTTGCCAAAAGCCAACGGCAACAAAAGCCCCGCAGTAACAAACCAAAAACACCAGCCAAACTAGCAACAGCAACAACATTTGTCGCAGTCGAGATGTTTTTACTTGGGCTCACTGCTTTTCCTGGGCTTTTCAAACGGCACACACGACGCCTTTTGCTAAAAGTTTCATAAATCTTATTTTGTTTTGTTGGCCCGACTTTCGGCTGGCGTCTGCCCACCAACTTTAACTCAGTCCCGAGCTCGGCGACGGCGTCATTCCATTTGACTGCGTTCTACATTACTATAGACCACGCTATGCTGTGCTGTGTGTGCAACTTGAGACCCCAACTCAAAACAAACTTACTGCCAAGCACACATATACATATACGAGTGCCCCATTATGTCAATGCTGTTCAATATCTGTGCGATCAGCAGTCGAAAATGCGGAGCACAGCGAAAACTTTGAGCACCGGCCAGTGGCTGTCAAACTGTAAGTGCATTTCGTGATTGCCTGTTTCGGTTGATACACAGAGAGAAGTTCTTTACCTTTTAGACCTACAATTTTTTTAAGCTATTTGATTTTATAATTGAACTCAGAATTTAAAACAGGTAAACCAAGAGAATTTAAAACCACCAAATCATAAAGAAACTCTTAAACTTATAAAGGATTCTTAATCAAAAAGTATACATTTTTATTGCAGATTTCGTAACTTTGTTACATTTTAACAAATATATTCTTAAATGCAAATATTTTGGCTTCAACATACAAATTAAAATATGTCGTTCTGATATCAGAATATTTTTATAAGAAATCTAGATTTTTTCTTCCTGTTTACTGAGATACATTGGAAATGTTTTAGCAATGACTTCACTTTGGGCCCCCGCCCCTCTACAAATCTTTGAAATCCCCTTGATTCAAGTTGTTTGCTGGCCCAGAATCGAAATGAGTCGCCTTCTTATCGCCAATATTGTGCGTTCCCTCCTCCCGATCGATCCCTGCATGCCGCACAGATTGTGGGGGAAGAATTCTGGGAGAATTTACCCACTCGAAAACTTAGATGTTGTAATCGCCTTTAATAATCCACTGAACAGCCTCGGCAGCAGAATGGGGAAAATGAAAAATACAAATGTATTCGGGAAAATTAAACTTTGAACCGTGCCATTAATTAATTTTCAGCCCGATGTTGTTGTTGTTGTTACGTTTTTCCCCCAGGCACGTCGTGTATTTAGCATCTGTGTGTGCGTGCGTGAAATTAACCAGAACCATAAATTTAAAACCGAATCAAAGTCAAAATCAAAATCATGTCTGAAAATTGCTCACAATAATTTCCATGAGGAAGGCAAGTCTGTACTACTCATTCTCCCTCTCTCTCTCTCCCTCTCACTCACTCTGTCTCTATCACTCTTCCCCTTCATCTGCCACATGTCCATCCATCATTACCAAAAATGCTAACCAAATACCAAACATATTTTCTCTTTTATGTTCTCTCCTAAACACAACAAACATATTTTGCACACAAAACCAAAAAAATTCAACCAAAAACCACAAATAATTCCACCATGTAAACAGCAATGGGGAGTCGAAGAATGCCTCGAATGCCACTTCGCCGGTGGCGCAGGTTCACCAGGCGGAGTCCTCCTCTGCGGATGCCAAGAAGTCCAAGAAATTCGGACGCAGCAAGTCCAGCGACATCTTAAAAAAGGAATCTGCTGCCTTGCCCTACGACAAGGGGAAGAACACGCTGACCCGGTTGAATTCCCTGAAGCAGTGGGGCCGGAATCGCTTCAAGTTCATGCAGCGCACCGGGGAGCTGGGCGACCAGCTGGACACCAGTGGCTGCAGCTCGCAGAACAGTTCCGCGGAAAAGGCGGACAGCCACCATGGCTCGCCGGGATCGGGCGAGACGCCCAAGCGGGACATCGACGACGAGTGCGTGGTGCATCACCTGGTGGCCCAGAAGAGTGAATCTCGGTTTTCGCACGAACGAAAGCCCTCGTATTCCTCTTCGGAGAAGAGCATGAGTGTGTCCAGCAGTGGCCAACTCCGGGGCAGACTGCAGCTCTCCTCCGGACCGCTGGCGGCGGCCCATGTCAAGATGCGGGAAACGGCCACGTTGAACAGGCAGCGGCGGAATGGCCTGCATGCTCTCGCCGGCAAGGAGGAGCAGCCCCACTCCTCGAGCGGCAACTGGAGTGCCAGCTCGGAGTCGGGACGCGCCTCCATTGGCAGCGAGATCACCATGCAGCCCAAGTCGAGTGCCTCGAGCACCTCGTTGAATGTGTCCAGTTTCCAGCCGGGAGGAGCGGGCAGTGGTCCCCCGTCTTCGATGTTGAGCAGAAGGCGCTTCCTGAACACCTCCGCCTCGAGCAGTGTGACCAGTGAGGGCACTGCCACCCCGGAACTCCAGGCGGAGGCGGGTGCGTATCCAGGTCACCTGGACGATGAGACCAGTTCCGCTTACAGCTGCGACACCGAGGGATACTACACCTCCTTCCACATGGACAGCGGACTGCGCACTCTGAAGGAGGAGGAGCCTTCTCCCTTGCCGGGAACCCCACAGCAGGCCAGTCTGCACACCAGCAGCTACTCCTTCGGCAGCCAGTCCAACCAGACGGTGCTCAATGCGGAGAGCGAGTACGAGCTGTTCGGCAGGGGATCCACCTCCACCACCACCAGTTCGGCGGGCACCGTGTGCACGGCTCTGATGAGCGGAGCGGCCGCTGGACCGGATGTGCCCGAGCGGAGCAGCTCGCTGGGCAAGCACAGTGGCCAGAGCAGGAGCCAGAGCACCAGTGCCAGCAGCAGCACGCTGGAGAGGAGCTACAGCAGCAGCACCATCGGGAGCACCTTGGAGCGCACGGGTACGATCAAGAGGAACGTGAAGATGTCGCCGGCCAAGGGAGAAATGCCGGAGAAGGAGGGCCAGCAGGAGCAGGACCAGCAGCAGCAGCTGGAGTTCTCCGAGAGCTCCGACCTGGAGGGCGTGGAACGCATCGAGAGGATCAAACAGAAGACGGCCATCAGCTCCAAGAGGATTCCCTCCATGTGCATCATTACACCGACAACCAGCGACGACGATGAGCACCAGGCCAATGACCCGAACCGAACGCTCACCAGTCTGACCATTGAGGTGGACCAGGAGCCGGAGGAGGACGAGCCGGAGCAGAAGACGCCCACCAACAGCAAGGACCACAACCTCAACGAGCTTAAGCAGACGCCCACGAAGGCGCTCAGCGGCATGTTTGAGAAGCTCCGGGTGAAACTGGTTCCGGGCAAAAGCTCCCCCGCGAAGAACCAGATCCAACCGAAGCCCGCCAACGCGAGCGCCGTGAATGACGACGAGCTTTACGATTTTGCCGGCGAGTACGTCACTATAGCAGACATCAGCAACAACAACAACAATAACATTAACAACGGCAACCGAAGGCCCACGGGAATGGGTATATACTATTCCAATGACATAGTTTCCAAGAGGGTTGAACCCACGTCCGAGTACGTTTCGCTGAACGAGCTGCCGCAGCACTTGCGTCGGCATGCGGTCTCATCGCCGCCGGAGAGCGAGTCCTGCGCACAACAACAGTTACGGGCACAGGAGCAGCTGCCAGGAGCCGAGCAGCCGGCAGCTGCCGCCCAACCGAGCGCCCAGCCACCCCTAAGCGGCAGGATGAGCGGCCAGGGCGAGGGGGTGCCGATGTACGCGGAAATCGGCGAGCTAAACGAGGAGAAGTCGCTCGCATCGCAGGCGAGTCGTCGACTGCGCCCGAACGCCGAGGGGAAGCTGGTCTACGACTCCGACAGTCTGAAGCGGCGCAAGGGCGCACACACCACCTTCGCACCTGGGCCGTACGTGAAGGAAACCGAAAGTGCGCTCCACAGTGCAGAAAGTGCAGCGACGGCGGCAGCATCAGCGGATTCGGGAATCACTACTGGAACAACAACTAAGAGCGCCAAGCTTTTACTACTCAGCGGAGGCGGACTAATCGCTGGCAATCGCAAGGTGGCCAATGTGAGGCCCATTGTGGCCAAATCACCGCTCAGCAGGAACACCGGCGGCATGGCCGCGTATCAGGCAGCCAGCAGCTACCAGGATCAGAAGCAACTGCTGGCCAACCGAACGAATCCCTTCTACGAAACGATTGCCGCACCCGTGGCCAACTTGATGATGCCCTCGCCGTCGGGGAAGTCGAACTCCTCGACGGGCTCGACGGCCACCAGTTCCTCCTCGTCGGCATCGGGCCACTCCGGTGAAGAAGGTAAGCCAGAGCAGCCAGCGACGGAGCAGAGCTGCCCCACCGCTCGCCCACCCAACACCCCGTCCTGTCCCCCTGTAAATAACACCGAAAACAGCACCCTTAATCAGCACATAGCCAGCAAGTCAGTGGGCAGCATATCAAGTGTGAGGGAGCAGCATCAGCAGCAGCAGCATCAGCAGCAAAACCCCAAAGATTGCCAGTCGAAAGTGAGGGTTGTTGAAATGGAAACTAACCCCATGGGGGTGAATTTCAGCGGGGGGAGCAAGTGCCACCCCTGCCGCCGAGGGCGAAAGTAAATGGTAAAGCGCCCCCAGCGAAGCTCCCCTATCGATTGACCCAATTGCGCTGCACTTTTCCAATCCCGGCCAGCCGCGCACCGCCCTCAAGCGGAACAACAGCTACCGGCTGGCCAACGACGAGCTGAAGCTGGAGATGAACAAGGAGAACCTCTCGGTGTCCTTCGGCTGTGAGAGAGCACCTAGTTCGGGTGCAATGCCCCCAAGTTCCGTGCAGCACGCAACAAGTTCCCTCAAGCTGCGCAACCTGAGCAACCACCTGCCCGCCACCCACTCACCTGGCGGTGGTGGTGGCGGTGGGTCGGAGCGAAGGATAGCCAAGTCCTTTGAGCGCCTGGTGGATGAGTTCTCGCTGTCGCTAACCACCGGTGACGATTCCTCGTATCTGAAGAACAAGTCGCTCGAGAACTTCGATGACTCACCAGCCCTTTTGTCCGTGCTGGCTGCCGAACAAAAGCCAGACGAAAACTCCGACTCGGGCCCCGAGTCCGAGGAGGATGAGGAGGAAGCAGCTCCACCTCGTCTCCCCCTGCCAGCCCAGAAGTATCACAAGTCCTTTGTCGACAGCGTGCTGCTGCGTCCCTTCAAAATTATCCTGCCCAGCGACGAGAACGGCAACCGTCGCCAGCGCATTTTGCAGAAATTCGAGGTTACCGAGATCTGGTAGTTAGCCCCTTTTCTTGCCTCTTGAGCAAACACTACACCACAATTGCCGAGATTGGCACGGCTCAAAGGAGCGCCACACCAGACCAGACCCTCGAGCCACCTAGTGTGTGGGCCTCATTAAAGTTGCATGCACTTGGCCAGACGCGTTCGTGTTCAATTGGCCAAGTTGGGTCAGCCCGTCCCGGGGTTCAATGTCCAATCCTTCCACACTTGATATGCTGCTCGAAGGCGAGCTCCTATTTTCAAAGTTAACTTCCCTGAATCACTAAGTTTATATGTCAGCTGGCTTGCAAGACTAAATACCTTACTCTGTTTATACAGTTCGGACCACACAGAACTGAAAATTATAAAAGATACACTCTTTATTTCCAATCGAACCGTTTGTATAAACAAAGTAACAATGCCTTTTGTTTTGTAATTTATTTCCGCCGAATTAAGCTCGTTTAATCAGTTAATTAACTCCTTTTTTGTATGTGTTTTTAACCCTAGCTTTAGTGATTAATAAATGTTAATTGTTTACTCCTAAAAGCGTTTGTAACTAATTATAATTAACATAAACCAACACATGACTATTGTACATTTTGTAAAGTTTTTTGCACCGTTCACGTCTTGTACATCGAAATAATACTCAACTATCACGATTAGTACGTAAGCTTAAGTTCGCCCACGACTATGATGCTAATTTTTCGAGTATTTGATTTCACATCTACTCATTTTTCAAAATTAACGGATTGTGAGGCGTGCAAAAGACTTCTACTGCAGTTTCCTAACCATTTGCTTGTGTGTTTGTCTATGTTAAATTGTAGTAGTAGTTTTTTGCACGCCGTTCCTCCGACTAACGAATGATCAGTAGTGGCACGAGTAGTTTGAAAGATTAGCACATGGTTCAATCAGTTAAGTTCTCGGCTAAGTTCAACCCACATTCCATATACGAAATTCAATTTACCACCGATCGTAAGTAATGTTTTTACAAAAAAAAAAAGAATAAATCGAAAAGAAACCAAAATTCGGCATTGACATTATCATTGGCATTTGGTCTAAAGGTAAAGGAACTCCCATTATTATAGTCGAACCATCCCACCCAAAGCATTCACAACCATATTCGCATTTGCATCCCAGCACCCAAGCACCATTTGGCATTTGTAAATATTCGCTCAGCTCATGGGGATTTGGGGGATTCCCAGGTAATGTCATCCGAAACACCAAGGTACGTATGGAACCGCTTGCCCCGAACGCCTGATTTTAGTTGATTACCCTAACGAACCGCACTTGAAAACGCTTACTAATTCGAAAAAGAGAATATTGGTATCAGAATCTCATCTTCAGCTTCTAATTCCCTTTTGAATGCTCTTCCATCCGCAGGGTATCAACGTTTCTCTAATATCTATGAGCAAGTGCAGCCAGCACCGAGCACCCAGCCAAAGGAAGATGCGACTGCCACGCCCTTCCAGCGCAGTGCGCCCATCTACTGGACGCTGCAGAGTCGACGCAGCCAGCCAAGGCCACAGCCGACTGGCAACGTGACCTGTCGGGATGACCTCTATGCCACGCCCATTCGACGTGCCGACCGATTGCCACGCCCAGTGGCTGCAGCAGCAGCATCACCTGCAGCCGAAGGCAACAGGAGCAACATATCGCCAATTGTGCCAAGGAATCGAGCAGGAGCCTTCCTCACCTCCACGCCCACGAGGAGCGGAGAGGGGGAGCGAGATCCGGAGAACACCCAACTTCCCCCCATGAAACAGCCATCGCGCAACTGGACAGACGATGCCCCCGAACGCCTCAACACCTGTGCCGATCGCATTGGCCAGAGCAAGACCACGCTGATGGACTTTAAGAAGCTACTGCTGGCCAAGTCCGCCAAGGCGAGTCCTGTCCAACGAAAGGTATCCGCCGTGGAGCTGCTGAAGAAGTCAACCCCAAGCGCACCCAACCCGCCCCCCGTCTTGAAATCAACTGGAGCTGGGCAGAAAGTAACATCCGCTGGAAGCAAACCCACAATCAACAGCAGCCTCAAGCTGCTGGACCTGAGTGGCTCGCCCAAAACGTTCGCCAACCGGAGGATGCTGCGCCAGGGACAGTTTGGATCTCCCTCTAAGACCTTCGCCCCAAAGGTGCGAGGACCAGTGAATATGGTAGCTGCTGCAGCAGCACCACCGCGAACGGACATCATGTCCACTACGATTCCAGAGGCGAATAGCGAGGAGGATCACTCCAACACCAGCGGAGGATCAAGGGCCAGCTCTGAGGCGGGCGAGACCACAGCACCCTCAAGTTTCGACCTGAAGCGAAACTTTTTCTTGCAAACCGAGGAGAACAACTTCATGCGCGGAGAGTTGAAGCCCAGTTTTGCCAGGACAAATGGAGCAGGAGGAGTGGCTAGCACCGAAGGCAACAAGTATGTGGCAGCTCCACTGCCATCCTTCGAAACGGCATTGTAGAGTGGGTCAAACCCACTGCTGTAGCCAGCGATTATACATATTCCATAAGAAAACGATCAAATTATCGAGATGAGCAATTCCCTTCCGTAGCCAAGCCGAAACTGCATTTATTGACGGACGGAAACGAGTCAAAAGCGATGCTACTTTATGCAACATATACATATATCACTATATATACACAACACCTTTATACAATAAACTGTATTTTTTAAATTGTGCTGCTTGTATAAACGGAGATGTTTTATACACGAATACAAATCGTCTATACACCTACAATATATTTATTTGTAATTTTACGTTATTTATTGCAATTATGTATTACGCTACACGCATTGCTCTTTGTTTTGTAGTACAACACTTGTACGTCTACGAACTGATGAGAATCGCTTATAAATTAAACACATTGGATAACATACTTGATAATACTTGGCAGTTTTTCTTTGGAGGGTATATTTGCCTATATGGGGTTCTCTAATGGTCGATTTTATCTTGGTTGCATTCCCAAAGCTTTATGAAACTCCACTCTCGACAGCAAAGTTTGGTTTAAAAATTTGAAAATATCGGCAAAAAAAAAACCTAATGATAACTAGTATATTCTCGATTTGTAACTGGTCTCCCGACTCATCAGGGAAAACCACATGGCATCAGCCTAGGCGGTGAACGGGGACACAGCTTTGGATTCTAAATTAAACAATAGTTAATTGACTAGACTCGCATTTAAGACTCACAAGACTTTCCATAAAAAATGTGTGGCATACTTTTCGGAACAAATAAGAAATTCGAACTATACTATACTACTATAGCTTTATGTTCGCCTGGTGCTTCAAAATGCATTTGGTCCAAAAATTGTGGACTTGGCTGACCAATTTTGATGAGTGCAATTAGGACTGAGACTTAAGAACCAGTTCTACAGAATGCATTAGTTGGTGGCCGAGAGCCATATCGTATTCAGAGAACTTTACTACAAAACTACAATTTTTGGGAATTTATTTTTTTTAATTCAAGTAAAATATTCTTAAATTTACGTTGCTGATTTTAAGCTTTAAATAAGGAATGCTGGTGATGTACTAATTTAAAAACTAAGAATTAATGTACTCACTAATTTGTTCGACCAGAATTTGATCATATTATAAATTGTCTTTCTGATGATAATTTAAAGGTATTGCTACACAAAGTTGTATCCAACCTGTAAATACAGATAGCACGGCTTATTTACTGATCTTTTTAAATCCAACTGCGTCCCACGCTTCCTGATCTGCGTTTAGAGGACTTATCGCCAAGGGAACTGGCTGTCTGGTCCTTGCGCCCCATTACAGGCGAACTGCCGGAACCGATGTTTCGGATGAGCAATTTGAGACCCCGGGCTTGGGCATCGCTCGCTTGGCTTACGCTGTTTGCCTCGGATGCAATAATGCAGAAGTCATCAACGATATGGCCAGGAGGACTGATATCGAAGGGCAGAATGTCGCTTAGGCTCTGCTGTTGGCGATAGACGCTCCGCCTGCGAGCGCCACCATCAGCACCACCGAGAGAGCCTCCGCTGGCACTGGTGACCGAAGTTCCCGGCTGCTGATTAGTAACCTGGTGCAACTCCTGCTGCAGGTTTAGCAGGCGTGTGCGCAGTGCGGCGTTGTCCTCGCTAAGGCGTTGCATGTGAGCTGCCTCTTGCTCCGCCCGGACAAACGTGGGCTGCGGCAAGCACTGGTAAACGGTGGTCAGAAAGTTGCGCATCGACAGGAGAAGTGTATCCTGCCATTGTTTGGTGAAAAACAGGGCAAAGGTAGGCGACTCCTCAGCGTTTTTGCAAAAGGGGAAATCTGCAATAAAATAGTGGTCGTCAAGGAAGGCTTACAAATGGAATATTCAATATCAACTTACAGAACCAATCCTTCCATTCGCTCTGCTGCTGCAGTTCACCTGCCAGCTTGCTAAAGAACTCGGACACCTTTTCGGAACGATTGCTGCTGTAGGCGGTTATCAAGTAGTACTTTAGCAAGCTGTTTTCCAGTTTCTTGACGGCTGCAGGGGATTAACGATGAGTAATGTTATGAGAATAAGTATTGACAGTATTGAGCTTACCAACGGCATAAGTGTGCTCTAATTTGGAAAATATGTTATTGTCTAGATGGAACCATAAACTTCTCAGAGTCTGAAGGTCGGAATTTTGAACAGCATTATTGAATTGCTCCAGAATTCTTTCCGCCCTAAAGTGTTGGTCCTTTTCAGTTCGTTGTTCCAAGTCCAAGGCTTTTAAAGTACTCGAGAATCCACGGAAAACTAGGTACTCCCTTAAAAGGTTGTCCAAAAAAAGCAACTTGTGCCATTTCTTTGAATTTATGTCCCTTTTTTGTATTTTGACTGCAGTTTAACTATTACAATAAATCGTTGAATCGTAGTTGAAGAAAAAGACAATCAGCTGGTAGATAAAAGTTGCCAGATAGCTAAATAAGAAAGTATGGCTTATTAACAACAACAATTTTCAGTATATTTAAAAATGACTGGAAATCGAACTGAATGCTAACAAGGTCACACTTATTCCGCGAGCACATTTTGTAAACATTGAAATCCATAAATATGCACAAGCGAAGAACTGCCAAGTCAATAAATAAACCACCACCGATCCAAGGACCAGTGAAGAAACCCGTGCCAGTAGCGGAACCTCCGATCGACGAGGACCTAGTCACTCAATTTGAAGTGGAGCTCTGCTGGTGTGTGCAGCAACTGCAGATTGCCCTCGACAGCGGAAAACTAAGCCAGAAAGTGGCCGAGGATACCGCCAAGAATTTGAAGATCCTGACCAGCACAACAGCCCCGCTCATTAGGAAGCGCCAAGTGATGAAACTATCCATGGGCGACTACCGATCGAAAATGCAAGAGGAGGAACGCAAAATGGTGCTGGCCTCCAAGCAAATTAAGTTTACACCTACCACTGACACAACCAGGAAGTCTAGCTTCGTAAAAAAGTCCGCGCTTCTGACTTCTGGAAAGGATTTCCGCTTCGACTTTGCTTTGCCCTCGGAAGACACTAATAAAAAGGAGTCTCATCCGGAAACAAACTTTAAATTCAGCAGTCTTCAGCAGGACAATTCCGGAAGCCCTTTTAAGTTCAACTTTTCCATCGAAGAGGATTCGGCCAATAATATCAACTTCAAAGGCTTGAATTTAAATAATTAGTTTATAATAAGAACGGCTGAAAAGAACCGGATAATGTTTTTTTTATATCCAAATAAAAGGCTAATACAAAAATGTTCAATACTTAATAAGAACTCTTTTAAAATTAAGAAGTTTAAAACTTTATAACTGTGTGGCTATATCAGCATTTTAAAGTAATGAAAATCAGCTCAGGTTAACTCTTTTTGAATTCGCAAGGTTTTATTGCAAATTTAAAGAATTAATTTTGGAGAGCGACTTAAAAAATGTATATATTTAGAACGCCACTAAACACTTTACTAAATCTGTGAACATTAACTTATCCCGGCTAGTGTTCGTGGTTTTTATTTATAGACTTGCAGAGAGCGATTCCATGCCATACACATGTATATTTTGATCATGTCGGAAGACTGATGGCATGGGAAACGCTCAGTCCGCTCTGAATCGCCAAATGGCCAACAACGCGCGTATCGAACACACGTCCTCCGAGGGACATGAAGGGGATGCCACCTGCGTTGCGTATTTCGACGGGCAGCTGTTCTCCGGAGGCGCCGACGGTAAAATCCGAGTGGGTATCTTAGGACTGCTTTAATGCCTGTCTACATAGCCCAATTCCTTGCAGATTTGGTCACCGGAATTGCAACTACTAGCCACTGTGAACGCTCACGAGGCTTACATATACTGCATGGCCATTAATCAGCACGGAAAGTTATATTCAAGCAGTTGTGACGGCCAGGTGCGCTTTATGCTACCTCCTTATGGAGACGAGGCAGTCCAGGAACTCTTTCGCTGTGACGACGCCATCCAGGCCATGTACTGTGATGGATCTGTGCTTTATACGGGTGATGACAAGGGCGTGGTGACCACCTGGAGCAACGACCGAATGCTCTTTAAATACAACCTGGTGGAGGAAGTCAAATCGCTGGCTGGGGAGCAAAAGCTTATTTATACGGTTCGCGATCTAGACGTGGTGATTTCCCAGGTGACGGAGGGCAAGTCCGGAAAATATAGCAACAAAGCGGTGATTGCAGGAAAGTCTCCGCTTCGTCTTCTTGGACCAATTGTGAATGGAAAGCGCAGCTTCCTTGCCTTTCCGGATCGATCTGGGATGGGTCTACAACTGGTCAATAATTTGCCGCAGCAACAGTATGCTCTAATCTGGCACTTGCCGGTGAGTTAAGTTCTAACTTAATAAATATAAGTTCCTGGATAAGATAAATGATATATTAAACACATTACAGGAGTGCCACGAGTGGATTGTAAATGCCATTAGCGGAGATGAAGCCTTTCTGTACTCCGGAGGTTATGATAAAAAAGTCAAGGCATGGACCGATCTGGGATCAAAACAGCCGAAAGCCTTAGGTGAAGTGGATGTGGGTAGCTGGGTTAACAGCATATGCATTGGCGACAACAACACAATTTATATAGCGGGCAGTGATGGTTTTATACGCAGTGCAAAGTTTGTTTAGTTCGTTGTTTTTAATCTTTGTAACCTTTTAATGTTAAACATAATTTATTAAAGACCAGAATAAAATTAGATTCATTTCACACACTGGCTTTTAACTGTTGCCTGTGCTCCAGGCTATCGAATCCCACCTGGTCCTCGATCCAGCGAGCCACGGTGAGCAGTAACTGCTCGTTGAGACTGTTGCTCATTAGCTGAAGGCTGAGTGGTAAGCCAGCTTGCGACAAGCGAATGGGTATGGATACGGCAGGAATACCTGCCATGTTGGCTGGCTGAGTGCAAAAGTCCTGCACGGCACACTGATCTCTGTTGGTGAGGGAGGCAAAATCCTTGTAAAGTGGTGCCTCTGTGAGAGTTGTTGGTGTGAGAAGAATGTCCACGCGTTCCTCTTTGGCAGAAGTCTCGAACACTTTTACAAAGTCTTCTGCGATTAGCCGGCGAACCCGTAAAGCCTTCTCAAAGTAGTGTTCGTAGTTCTTTCTTAACAATAAGAAGTTTCCGGTTAGAATGCGTGTCTTTACTACCTCGTTGAATCCCTCAGCTCGGGAAAGAGCATACAACTGCTCTGTACTACGCTCGTCTGAAGCTCTATGGCCGTACTCGATGCCGTCGTATCTTGCCATATTACTGGCCACCTCGCACTGATTGAGAATCGAGTATACGAAAATACTTGCTGCCGTATTTGGCAATGAAACTTGTCGCACTGATGCGCCGCTACCCTCCAGGAGATCGGCCACCTTTGACCACGTTTCCAACACCTCAGCTGATAGACCCTGACAGTGGTATTCTTTCGGTATTCCTATGCGTACAGTGCTAAGATCAATTTGTCCGATCTCCGGCAGTTTCAGCTTTGTGAACGGTTTTCTAATGGTGGTAGAGTCCAGTTGATCCGGACCAGCCACTGCATTCAGCACCTCCACGCAGTCGCTAACTGAGCGGGCGAAAATGCCGGGCACGTCCATTGAGTTGACCAGTGGGATGAGGCCATGACGCGAAACCAAACCGTAGGTAGGTTTCAAGCCAACCACTCCGCAGTAGGAGGCGGGATTACGGGTGGAGCCACCAGTGTCCGAGCCAATGGCACTGAAATAAAACGAAGAAAGAATAGACAGTTTTATAATATAAAAAATATATGTAACCAGCAAAATTTCATACAAGATAGAATCGTAAAATATAAAGTTATTTATGTGCAACATTATTTTATGACCTAGCACGACGTTAATTTATAAAAATAACGGATATTATTTAGATTTCTTAAATTTGAATAAAAGCTAGTTCCATAAAAGCGGCCAAAACAAAAAATACCGCATCGAGTGGGCAGCCTCATAGGCCAGCTGACAATGTGCGTAAACGTTCACACTGCGCAGCTGTCAGAAGTCGAACGATCAAAGAAAAACTCGCTTATTTACTAAATTTGCGACTCAAATTGCTGCCCCGAAGCGATGTCTGCGCTCTTCCGTCTGACCAGCCGCGCCGTGGCGCTGCAGCGTTCCCAGCTGTTGGCCAATCAGGCGGCAGTGGTCCGCGCCATTAACACGTCCCCAAAGAAGGACGAGACCATTGCGGCACCCACTTCAATTACCACTGAGGACTTTGCCAATCCGAGCCCAAAGAACTGGCAGAGCTACGGATTCGATTACAAGGACCAAGTTGAGGACCGCAAGGCCACGAAATCGACGTTCTTCGTCACAGTTACGCTGTGCCTTGTGTGGGGCACCTTCTATTGGGCCTACCTGCCTGACACCCAGTTCCGCGATTGGGCCCAGCGTGAGGGATTCCTAGAGCTGCGTCGTCGCGAGCAGGCCGGCGTGGATTTGGTCAGCCCAAACTATGTGGACCCCGCAAATATAACGCTGCCCTCGGACGAGGATCTGGCCGACACCGAGATCATCATCTAAACATTTAGTGCATCTATCCTTAGTCTGTTATGTAATGCGAACGAAAAGCGCGGCCAGTGCGTATCCGCATAGTTATCCGTTAATAAAACTGCAAGTCTCGGCGTGGACAAAGCTGGCTATGAATCCTCTTGTGATTAATTTCTACTTTATACGAAAATATAGCCTTTCCTCGTATTTGAGGTTAGGTGGTCAAAACATAAACAAGCGAATACTTACGCATAACAAATACCCGCGGCTACGGCGGATGCAGAGCCTCCAGAACTACCTCCAGCGATGCGCCAGTGATCCTGATCTAGTTCCTCGCTCCATATGTTTTTGGTTGGTCCGTATAAAGAGTCCACAGTGCCAGCGCCCATGGCAAACTGATCCATGTTAGTCTTCCCAAGTATTACAGCGCCAGCTTGTTTAAGCCTAGAACACACAGTAGCATCATAAGGAGGCACAAAGTCCTGCAGCATCCTGGCAAGAAGATATATAAGGATAAAAATATTCTATTGTTTGTGTAACTTTAATTCCTACCGCGAGGCACAGGTTGTGTGGACGTCTTTGGTGCAAAAGTTATCCTTGATGGCAATAGTTACTCCGTCTAAGGTGCCATTTGGATGCTTTTGCTGATAGCGCTGCTCCGATTCTTGGGACTGTTGGATCGCCTGTTCTGGTGTGAGACGCACAAAAGCATTTAAGGTCGTCAATCGAAGCGCGTCCTCCAGAGCCTGCTCCGTAACCCGGCGAGGAGACAACTGGCCATCCGCATAACTGGCCGTTAGCTGATAAATTTAATGGTTTATAATGATTTTGGACGGATGATGAATTAACCAACCTGCTTAATACTCCACTGCAGGTGACGCCGCATTCTTAGGAATTAAAGTTCAGCGGGCTACTGGTTTAATCACCCGGTTCTTGAACACCTATTCGTTGAAGAAATCATAACAAATAAATTCAAGTTGCAAGAGTGGTTCGTTTATTTGGTATTTTTTATGTTTTGGTGCCAAAATGTATGGGCACACCAAAGCTCATAGGCGTTACTGTGGGGACTTACAAAAAAGTATAGTTTTAAATATTTCTTATTTGTAATTGATTAAGGGATCGTATATTTTAGTTTAGTATATAAAATGCCAATTAAAAAAAAATGATGTAGTCTATGTATTTTAAATCTATTTCTGAACTTAAGAAAAAAACATATCCCCTATTGCACAGCAAAATCACTGTTTTCTTGCTACACCCCTGCAACCGGCAGCTGTTATTGATTAGAGGAGCGATAAAAATCCAGCCACCGCGATTATTGACAATAGGACAACCTCGAGGGGCTTTAAAGTTATCTAACATCAATCAAACGTTTCTCAATTATCTAGAGTGCCTGTAAATAGCTGGCAAAGGCATCCAAGCAACTCAAACGATTTGTAAAATATGGCCAAGTTAGACGAACGGATCGGCTTCATTGGAGGCGGAAACATGGCCTTTGCCATTGGATCCGGACTCGTACGTTGCGGTATCGTGAAGGCAAGCCAGGTGCTGGTCTCCGGCCCGCACATCGAGAACCTGCAGCGCTGGCGGGACTTGGGAGCCGTGACGAGCGACGACAACTGTGAGGTCCTGGAGCACACGGATGTAGTCTTCATCTGCGTTAAGCCGCACATGCTCGCCACCTGCGCAGCCGGTCTCAAGTACAAGCATGTGCCGTCGGCCAAAGACGCCAGCAAGCTGATTGTGTCCGTACTGGCAGGTACCAGTATTCAAACTTTGGAGGATGCCCTTAGTTTTATGGGCAGCTCCGATGTAAAGATAATCCGGACCATGCCCAACACATCCATGCAGGTGGGCGAGGGATGTACAGTGTATACTGGCAATGCTCGCGTCAGCCATCACGACCTAGAAAAGATCCATCTGATGCTCAATGCTCTGGGTTTGGCCCAGCAAGTACCTGAGACCATGATCGATGCCGTCACCGGGGTAGCAGGATGCGGCCCGGCCTTTGTATACACCATCATCGAGGCACTGGCAGATGGTGGAGTTAAGCAGGGTGTTCCCCGCCAAATGGCTTTGCAGTTTGCAGCTCAAACACTGCTGGGAGCGGCAAAAACAGTCCTCCTTACAGGCAAACATCCGGCAGTCCTTCGGGACGAGGTTTGCTCACCCGGCGGGTCGACCATTGTCGGCGTCCACGAATTGGAAAAAGGAAACCTTAGGTGGGTAGCACTAACTCCTTGAAGTGGTCTATTTTATCTATCGCTTCTGCCTTTTAGGGCAACTTTAATAAACGCCGTGGAGAAATCCTCGCAGCGCTCCGCTGAACTGGGAAAGAAATGAGCCTGCAGCTACTCCATAACCTTCTTTGCTCTCTATACTTAAAGTAAAACGCTTGGTATTCATATTACAATTACAACTACGATAAAGCTTGAGTTTATTCGCGATCTTTTTTGCTGACGTACTCCACACACTTGGAGGGATCGGTAGGGAAATACTCCTGGCACTTGGTCATCAGTCGCTTAAGACCTTGGATATACTTGCGCTGAGTCTCGTCGTTCATCACATGGGCCACGTTCTTGGAGAAAATCTTCTCACGACCCGTACGTGCGTGAATGCCCACCATGGTGACACCAATGGGCCACGGAGCATTGCCGATGGCCATTTCCAAGTAGGCGTCGCTAGCGGTGATGTAATTACGGTTGAGAAGGTGCTTGCAAATGTCGCGTAGACTGTCCAGGATGTCCTCGGGCAGCGTGTGATGCTTCAACTTGCGAAACAGCGGCTTCACATACTCCTTGGTCTGCGTGTAAATAACCCTCGTCATTTTCACTTTGGTGGACATCTTCTCGTGCTTGCTGTAATTGGCGATCTGGTCGTTCCACAGCTTGAGCAGGAAGGTGAGGAGCGTGATGATTACATCCATGTCGTAATCCTTATTTCGACCCATCTTCTGGGCCATTGTCTGTATGCTCTCCCACGAAACTGATTCGTCTAGCTCGGCAAAGTCCGATTTTTTGTCTTCTTTGGCTGTGGGTGTGTTGGCGAACATCTCCTGCAAGTAGGCGGCATCGACCTGTTCCATGGCCTCCTGGAAGTCGTTGCGGAACCCGCGATTGGCCTCCGGCTGTGAGATCTCGCACTGTCGCAATCTGTCGAAGGCTTCTGGCTCCGTTTCGCCAAAGATGAGGATGGGTTCGCCGCGTTCCCTTAACCGACGGATGACTTCTGCGCGTGGCAAAATATTCTGCCCATCGGCCACGAAACTATATGCTCCTTCGGTGGTTTGTCCTTGCGCTTCCACAGACTCCTGTTTTTTGTAACCCACCTTCTGAAGCACTTCCTCCGTGTCTTTAGCGTTGAGGTCGCCACGTCTGAAGTATTTCTTTTTCTCGTCTACCAGCTGCTTCTGTTCAAGAAGCTTACGCTTTCGAGCTATTTCTGCTTTTAGAATATCCATTAAGGGGAGATTTGTCAATAACAATACGGTATAAACAAAACAAAACAGAATGCGAGGTTTTGAAGTATGACCAGATTATGCAAAATGAATAAGGAGCGCACAATAGAGGTCACAACAATAGCCGACATTTTCATACAAATTAAAATTTGTATTTTATTTTTAAGGAATCAAGTAGTAAAAAAATTAAATTGATCTTAAATTCGATCAAAACATGTACAAAGTTAAAATGCACGAATCGTAAACTAATACTTAATTAAAAGAAATAGTATTATTATTAGTATTTTATTTACGGTACTTATTAACTGGGAGAATAAATTTCAATGCTCCGTCCCTGGTCACACTGGCCCCAAATCAATAAGAAAATATACAATTTTTTAGGCAAACACTTAAAGGACACAATGCCAAAGAAGATGGGAATCAACTCGAAGGCAGTGGAGGCCCGCGAGCGCAAGGAGGCCACCAAGAAGGCGACGCAGGAGAAGAAGACCAAGGAGGCGGAGGACCGCTTGTGGCGCGATGACGACAAGAATCTGGCGAAAAAACAGCAGCGCAAGGACGAGGAGGAGCGCAAGAGGGCCGAGGCGGCCAAACGGAAGGCGGAGGCCAAGGCGCTACTTGACCAGGAAATGAGCTCCATCTCCACGCAGCGCAAGCAGCCGCTAGCCAAGATTAACCGGCAGCAGATTCTCGAGGAGATAGAGAAGAAGCAGCGTGTGATGGAGGCAATCAACGAGGCCAGCAAACCGGCGGCCACACGAGTTGTGGTCCAAAACCATGTTGTTGAAGAGAACCTCAACCGATCCATGGCCGACACGGATGTAGCCTCCAACATAGACGAGGCGCTGGTTGTGTTAAGGTACGTTTTCCGAAGAAATTACCACTTTATTAAAAATTTGACCAAATTTGACCTTTAAATTTAGCGTCAACGATAATGAGGAAGACAAACATCCTGAGAAACGAATGCGCGCCGCCTACAAGACCTTTGAAGCCAACAATCTGCCCCGCATCAAGGCCGAGAATCCTTCGCTCCGCATGTCTCAGTGGAAGCAGCTGCTTATGAAGGAATGGAATAAGTCCCCAGACAATCCCTTCAACCAGGGACGCTAAATGCGAAAAAGGACGAATTTCACCGACCCATCCGACGAGTGTGCGTACTCTAGTGACTGTTTGCTGCCTAGCAGCAAAAAACTTATCAAATGGTTCCAAATCACCTTTCGAACTATACGCAGAATTTAGTTTATACATAAAATTATGGACGGAATAAATGTATTTATTTATTTAAGCCCAGTGAGTAAAAGATGTGTTAACTGCACAAGGGGCTCTTCTTAAATGGTTTATCAAGAGGTTAAGAAAAAACGTTAGAGAACATTTAATAATCTTGATATTAATAATTTTCGATGAGCAAAATTAGCATTTGTTTGGCGGGTATAAATTTCTATGGTACTTTGGTTTTCTTTCCCTTATCCAACTTCTTAAATAAATTAAAGAGAAATTACTGCTTCGTTATGCAACAAATCAATAAAGTTATTCCAAAATCGCGCGAATAAACTAAGCATCGGAGTCGTAAAGTCTGAAAGTGATAACCGGCAGCTTTTCTCCGCTTATTTAATGGCCAATTTTTATTCGCCAGTGCTTCAAAACTTTGTGGCCCTGATCCGATTCCGGTTGCGTTTGTGAATGAAGTAATTATATGTATTGCTTTGATTGCCGTTGTCGTTCCAGCGTTTTGTCCATCACTTTTTTCAGTGGTGCAAAATACAGAGAATAATAAGTGCTTCCGCTTTCACTGCTGCTTGGAAGTTCGGTGGCGTTTTCTGAGCCAGAGCCACCAAAATATTTTGACTACCTCATACAAATGCACGTAACATCAGACGCTTAAGTATGAGCTTAAAGCCATTAGGCACCTCTTTTTGCGCATTAAATGTGATTTTATATAAGATATTAAGGGCTTAATTGAGCGATTTTCCAAATAAAAAGTTTTTGGCTTAATAGCTTGGCCTGGTCAGCTTTCATTTGGGAAACCAATTGTTGTCTTGTACAAAGCTATTGAAGTGGAAGTCAGCATTTAAGTTCTGGCCAGAAACTTTCTTGTTCAATTGAGACATTAGCTGGGTTCAAGGGTCTTTTAATCTTACTTTCTTATCACTAGACCCTAAACAGTTAAAGCGTTTATAGCCTACACATCAGAGAGCCCGGATTGCATTTAACAATTAAAATGTTCCACTGCAGTAGATTTGATTTTTGAATTTCCACCACCAGTTTCGGTTTGGAGTTAACAGCAGCTCTGTTAACCGTTTTTAACCGCTCGTCAGCTGTCTTACCTGTTGTTGGCTGCTGTCGCTGGCCGTGCTTTCTTTTTAATAAAAATTTCTTTTGTCGCCGCGCAACTTCATTCAGTTTCTGACCGTCGAAGGCAGCGGTCGCGTCGTGGTCTTCAGATTCAATCGTGAGAGAAATGCAAATACCAGAAATTCAATATTGAACGCGAGCCGAGAGAAAAGAAAAGTGTGAGACGTGTTTGGAAAATCGAATCGAATTTCGTACGGCACCGTCAACGGAAATCGCAACAACGGTAATTGGTGTGTGTGTGAGCTCTGCCTCTTTCATTTCCCGCGAGTGCCTGGTGAACTTTATTGGTTTTTTTGAAAACAACCAACTAATTGTGGAATACTTTGGGCCAACTGCAGCCAAGGATATCAGCGGTTCAGCCACTTTGCGGGTAAGATTTGTGGGTTAGGCGGTTAGAAATGCTTGTCGGCCTTTACGGTTGCAGCTAATTAGCATGCTGCACTTAACAAAGCACAAAAAATAGAAAAAAAAGGTAAACTGCAGCGGGCTGACGCTGGTCACCAGTTGGAAATCAGGGCAAGCCCAGCAACCCACACGAGTTCGTGCCTTAAGTCTTTTGTTTTGCGACTCGCTTAATTTTTTGTCGCCGGCCCTTGCACTTCTGCAAAACAGCATGCGGCAGAAAAAAGTTGTTCACATTTCTGTACCAGAATAATTATGTACGCAACTACTGCTGATACACGGGTTTTTATTATAGTTCAGACCTCGCGATGGCTTACTTTCCTCCCCATCAAATTCGGCTGACCTACAAATCGTGGACTACATGCTAATTGACGTTAACTTGTTCCCGAGATTCCGCATTCGTTTGGCCAAAAAAATGTGAGGTTCATTGACCATCGTCGATTGCCTGTCGTTATGTAAAGTGCACAATAGTTGATTTCTGGTAATGAATTCACACTTTGCATGGAATCGGATGTGTTGCGTGTTGGCGGCTGTTATGCATTTTGCGCGAATTATTTAATACACAGGCGAGGAGATAACGAGATCAATTGGCAGCCAACCGTTAACTAATTTATTACTTTCCCAAAAGGTCGGTGCAGCGTTCCCAATAGGCCGCTAAGGAGCCCGCCGCCTGATTTATAGCCATCGCCAGCGACCCAAATTGGCCGGCCAGCCAGAAGCGTACTATATGCTTAGCTATGCCGAGCCAAACATAAGTGGAATCAGAAACAGCAAAATAGAAAAAAAAATAAAACAGAACTTGGAGCCAACCCATTTACTGGATGACACGCGCGGGCGCAGTGCGGCGAATAGCTATTTCCACTGCCGCCGCCAGCTATTGCAATTGCATTAGTGAGCCAAAAAGCCAAGTGACCATAAAAGAAATGCCAGAGGCAGCAGGCCTAAACCGAATTACCTACGAGCGTTCCACACTCGAGATCTGGCCATTTATGGGTGGCTCTTCTTGCCGAGGAAGTCACACTCCGCCACCAAAAACGAACTGACAGCCTTGAAAGATTTATTGGCTGCCCAGATCGGCGACGTGCGGCGATTCTGCAAATGGGATATATCCATCGGCGAGCGTAGTCAATCATCGCTCGCTTATCTGCCTTATCGCTGTGCTCTCTGAATTTGTCTTTCGACTCGGGCATCTTCAGCACTTTCCTTTTTATTTGAGCCATTGCGGTTGCCCGAAGCTCGTGCTCAGTTTTTTGTTACACAGTAGAAAATATGGTACCTGATTTCATAAACATTTAACAGGATAAAAAATATTTTTTTTTTAAGAGGCACCAACAATTTTAGTGGTCATACTAAAGATTCAAATATTTTCTATGCACCCCAAGTTTTTGGCCAACTTTAATGCCAATTATCCAGCTGTCACTCAACGCTCGTGAGATTTTCTATACGCTTTTTCCTCGAATCAGCACTTGAGCAGTTTCCATTTGATGGCTCGGACAGTACTTTAATAATAGCAATTCCATTGTAAAATCCATACCGACTGCGCATGTGTGCAGCGCATAATTTCCTCGCTTTGTGCCATAAGTGGTTGTAAATTTCGACTCGCCGTCGTCGACTTCATTATAAACTAATAAAATAGCAACAAATTCAAGTTTTCGAGTGTGTGTGGCATTTGAAGTGCTCGGCTTGAACTTCACACTCTGGCGGCAAGCTGAAATTTCACCATTTCTCTTTGAAGAACCTGCGAATGCGCATTATTATAATTAAGATTTCAGGCACGTTGCCTTGACTTTCATTGCCATTTTTTAGACGCGGTCAGCGGCTTTTTCGGTTTATTGATTTCTTAGTTTTTCGGATTTTGTTTATTGGTCTTCTAGCCGAAGGAATTCCACCCGTTTTGGCCAACGGGGTTATTCATTTCTATATGCTAATCGGCAGCTAGCATGTGGGCGTCACTTTCTATCTTCGCCGGCGAGAGAGCGGAAATCCGATCACGGATTTCCTTGGCCTCTGATTGCCTTTGGTTCACGGGAATTCGCTCGAAATTTCGTGTGATTGCAACACTCGAATGATTCACGAGATTTTGGCCAAGGTGTGTGCACTTGCCAACATTTGTTAACGTTAACATCAGCCAACAGGCCGCCGAGATCATAGCAGGAATTTATGAGTGTGTGTGGTGCGGCCAAGAGCGATTACGCACCTTAAAAAGTGAAATTTCTCGTGTTGTTTTGTTTCGGCTTTTCGTTTTTTCGCCAGAAAGAAATGCAAATTAATTCCAATGACTAAGACGGCGGCGATTTTGGGAATGATTTAAGCCTGGGGCCATCAAAATGAAAACTGCCTAGGGTCGGGAAAATGACTCTCGTTTTACACGAAGTTAATTAGTTGTGATTTATTTGTAAGTCACGGATTTCACGGAACTATTTTGACTGCAATTTAATTGGCTTATTAGAAAGCAATACATTTTCAGACCACCTATTATAAAGAGACACTAACCCAAATATATATATAAACATATTTGAACAATAATAATGAGCTTAATAACCATTTTAAACTGAGTTTAAACTGTTTAAATGGTTTTATCTCTGTGGATTTACGAATTTGAATACAACTGGAATTGGCGGGGCCAAGAGCCTAGGGTTTCCAAGTTTAAGACCAGGCTTCGGCCACATTCCAGCCACACTCGCCATCGACTGTTTGTCCAATGATCGTTAACGGGGTCAGCTGAGCTACGTACACGGGTTTCAGCCGCTTCTCGCCGCCGCTGTTGGTTTATTTTGTGCTACCTCCCCTGGGTTTCGGCATTGGGTATTGGGTATCTTGGCTGGCATCTTGCCTGGCTGATTCACCGAAAAAGCAAAGAGACGAAATAAACCAAAACGTGAGGCAGACAGGCGGGCAGGAAGGCAGCCTTCCTCGGTATTTGGGATTACCAGTTGCCTCATCTGGTGGAGCGTCGCTTCAACGGGGGGCAATCAAAAATTTCACTGATTTTAATTATTTTTATTTTGCGTCCTACCGTTCTGGTTTGGCTGCTTTGCCGCGTGTGCGTTTTCTTCTTGCTTTTGCGTTGCGGTTAAAGTTGAGGTATAAATTCGGTAAGCCATAAATAATTCTCTCTGGCGCCGCACCACATTCACATCCACATCCACGTCCAGCACCACCGCCGGAGCAGCACTCAGAAGCTGAGCGAGAAATTTTTGGCTGCCAAAAGTGAAAGTTGCAGCTGCTGCTGGCCGTGCCATTGAAAGCAATAAGAAACGTAGGAAAGCGCCGAGCTCCGCTTCTTTCCCCCCTGTCTTCCATTAGGAAACAAAATCAGCTCGCTAGAGACAGTTTAAAGTTGAGTCTTAGGGTCTGGGCAGCAGATTGGTCCGGGTGTCTAATGACTCTGCGCTAGCTGCTCTTTGTCAACATTGACCGACCGACCGCAGGGGGGAATTAAGCATTTTCGCTATTATGTGTTTCGTTTTGTAGCCCGCAATTATGTTTACCACGCTTTTGATTGTTACTATTTTGGTGCCATTAAAAATTACACCTAATTGCGGTGGCCCGTAATAGACGTGCGACTTTTTCGGGGTGTCTTCCTCCAGCGAGTGGCACTTGGCACTTGGAAGTTGGAACTTGGCGTCGGGTGGGAAAAGGGGGAAAGTTATGGTGTTTATGAGCTTTGCCAGCTTGATTGTGGGAACCCCGGGCGAAATGAGTTAATCCGACTGAGTGAGAGATACCAAGGTGAATTGTGTAATGTGAAAGCAAAGTGCTTGCAGGGAAGTGATTACACTAATCCATCGACTTCCTTACCCAGGAACTGGGTCACATATCGGGCTGGGTTCGTTGAACCCTTCCATTCCAGAATGCCTTGGAATGCCGCACTACCATAACTCGTTTCAATATTTTAGCTTAATTAAATTAGCACTTTCTACGCGACAAGAAAGCCGTGCCTCACATATTGAATAATAATTACAAACAATTAGCACAGTGACCCAGATGCGTAAATTATGAAAATGAAAATGCATCGCTTGCCGCCCAGAAATTCCTTCGGTGCGGTGGCACTCGCAATGGAAAGTGGCAATCAAGTGCGGCTCAAATGTGCAATGAAACCACGTTCGCATATTCAAAGACTCGTTGACAAGAAGTTTGTGTCTTGAGTCTTTCGTTTGCTTTTCGAGCAAACGCGTGCTCTTTTAACAATCCAGCGGCGATGACAGGTTTTTATTTGGCATTCGGTGTTCTCGAGGAGGATGCTTCTGCTGCTGCTTCTGCTTTTGCCGCTGCTCGTCTTCGGGTTGTTCTTTTTTATTAGCATACTGATAAAAGCGAACTCGCCCGTGTTTGTGCGCGCGAGCTGTGGACATTTCAAAATGATGGAAAGAGCAAACGAGTTCCTAAATTGTGACCCAATTACCTAGTTAGCCAGTCTGTTGATACAAGTTCTGCTTGGCCTTATGAATTACGACCCCTTAAGCGAGGCATGCAGAATTGAGCGCTGCATTTGCATAACACTCGAGAACGCAAGAAAGCACAAATTGCTGGCCCATTCATTGACAATCGAAATGAAAGTTGGTAGCGAAACGGACTGAAGTCTCAGATCGGAGATCGGAGATCAAACTGCCGCAATTGTTTCGTGTGGCACATGCCGCATGCAATCGAGAGGAAATCTAGACCATAATAATAAGCCAGGCAATTTGGAGACACCACTGCCAATTGCCGCAATTGCACTTTCATTTGGGATTCTTGCCGCTCGAAATCGAGTAAACGTGGCCATGAGTGTACACTGAGTGTACCCGCGGCTCTTTGAATAAATTTCTACATGGCTTGATTGACAGTCCGGCGCGATTAAGCGCATAATGAGACTCGCTCCTGGCTGGCTTGGGTTTTGACATTGATGTGCTCGCTCTCCGCCGGTGAGTCAGTCATAATTAGCGCTGGGTATTTCGGCTGTTCGCCTGTTCGGTTGGTCTGCTGGTCAGTTGGTCTGCTGGTCGGCTGGGTGACATTATCGATGTATTCCGATGATTGAATGAAAGTTGAACTGTGCTTTTTGAAAGTGAATTTCTTGTCACGGCAGAAGACGCCGCGAATCGAAAGCACTCGCGGCCCATTCGATTTCGGCTCTTCTTTTTTTTTTTTTTGGTTTGTCGTTGCGGCAGAATATCGAAGAGCGTTAGACAATAGCCAAGACTATTGGCCAGGAGGCCAGCGGCTGGCATTTGGCTCGTTTGACATAACCACCACAATGAGCCGCAACGGCAACAAACAACAAACAACAAGCCACAACTCCCAGACGGGTTTTCCACTCGCTGCAAAAACTGGCTGCTCACATTTGGTAAAATTTCACTTTTTCCTTTTATTTGCTTAGTGGCCCGGCCGCACGACTGTTGCAGCAGCTTTTTATGAAAATCAAAGCAATCCCATCCAGTCACCAGTTGTGGACCGCGGACCAGTGTCACTGCCAAATCGGGACTGCACCAGTTGGGTTAATTGTAAGCGACACTGCCAGCCGATGTTTTGATCTGCAATCATAACGCAAAGGCAGCCGTCGAATAGTACTGCGCTCTCTTTGTTTTTGGCCAAAACACTTCTCGCATAGAAGCAGACACGGTCATGTCTCAATTAAGCCAACCTACGGTGCTTGGTCCGCTGACAAATTGCCGAGAGGCCGCGGTGTTGCTGTCGGGACTCGAGATTCGAGATTCAAGGCAGCAACACACCAGCAACACCAGCAATCTGAGCAGCAACTGGCTGCAATTTTCGCACCATAAACGTGGAAGCGGTCCGTTGTCAAAGCTTTTGAAGTGACAGCGGCCTTGTGCAGACTTTTAAAATCAAGAGTGGTTTCAGTTTGGGCGGAAGGTCTGCGATTCAAATTAAAGATTGCGTTTCTTTTCTCTCTCATTGCAGCCAATCGAAATGGGAGGCAGTAGCAACTCAAGGTTGCTGCTGGCACTTGTGTTGCTACTGGTCACAGCGGCAACATCCAGCGGTGAGTCCACCACGGAGGTTCCCTCGGCCCTGCTGCCATTGGAGGCCCGAAGTGCCGATATTTCCGGAGAGGAGGATGTAATTTCCACCAGCTACGTGCTGCCCAATCAGATCTTCAACGAGGGAAAGCCCTACTATCCCCGCCAGGATCCTGTCTCTGGTCAGCTGGACTTCAGTGCCAAGAAACCGGCGGGAATTCAGCCGGAGGCCAATGAGGTGGTAGATCCCAACGAGAAGATTGTGCTGAGCGGAGGCAGTTCTCCCAACATCCATGACTTCTTGAACCTGCCCGTGAAGTACTCGTCGTCGAAGTTTGTTTACCCACTGGTCTCCAGCTCGTATGCCAATTTGAAGTACCAGGGCAGCAACAAGAACTACATCACCAACAAGAAACCCACTTCGGTGGTGGCTCCAGTCACCCCACCACCGCCAAACTACCACAGTTCGAACTTTTTCACAGTGCCAACTACTAGATTAACTGCTGTGACACCGACGGCAGGTGCTTACTATCCCAGTAGTCCCACTACCACTAGCACCACCTCCACATCCACATCCACAACCACTACAACAACGACTACTACCCGGGGAACCTTGCCACCTTCGAGGAGACCAGTTAGCACCACCACCACTACGACGGAAGCAACCAGTCCGGCGGTTAAGTATACGACCACTTCCCGACGACCCATTCCAGTGTTGACGGTTTCTACGACTCCGCAACCACCGCGCACCAGCACCACCCGTAAGAAGTTTGTGCCCAACAAGAAGTACACTCCTACAGTGCCCAGCACCAGTGGAAGGCCAACAATCAGCCAGGAGGAGCAGCGTCCAGTGAAGGCATCACCGAAACCAACGCCCAGCAGCATCGATGTGGCCATGACCACGCACCATGCCACTCCGCAGGCGGCCATCTTCCCAACGGAACCAGCCACCACCACCAAGATGTACACCACCTCGAGCACCAGTCCACCAGTGGTGTTCACCGAGGGACCCACGCCACCACCCGCCTTCAGTCCCATTCCGGGAACTGGTATTCCCAACCTAGATCCAGCCGATGTTTACCACACGCTGGGACAGAAGAACACCCAAGCCGAAGAGCAGCAGCAGCAGCAGCTGGAGAAGCAGCAGCTAATGCAGCAGCAGCAACAGGTGCAGCACCAGCAATATCAGGAGCAGCAGCAGCAACAGCTATATCAACAGCAACAGTATCAGCTGCAATTGGAGAAGCAGCAACTGGAAAAGCAAAAGCATCCATACCAGCAGCAACTGGAAAAGCATCAGCAGCAGCAACAACATCAGCAGCAACAACATCAGCAGCAGCTACATCAACAGCAGCAACAACAGCAACAGCAGCAACAACAGCAACAACATCAGCAGCAGCTTCAGCAACAGCAACATCAGCAACAGCAACATCAGCTTCAACCGCCAACTCAGCAACAACAACCTTCAAAGCCTCCAATGACCCTCAGCGATATTTTCAACAGCCTGGCTGAAGAGGAATCAAATGTGGCACAGAACTACCAGCAGAATCAGGGATTTGATGCCCAGGGTAATCTCATTCAACCCATTGCACCCTCAAAGCCATCGCCTTTCGCCATGCAACAACCAGGATCACAACAACCAGGATCCCAACAACCTGGATCCCAACAACCAGGATCCCAACAACCAGGCTCACAACAACAACAGCGACCCCATCCAAATGATCAGAAGGTGATCTCCGGCAGCCAGGAGAATTACAGCAATGAGTACGTGTCCTACCAAGTGCAGCAACCAAATATGATGCAATACCGACCAGTTCCGGGCCAAATCAACAACGTGGTCATTTCACCTGGTCAGCAATCGGCTTCCTTTGTTCTTGGCAGCCAAGTGCAGCAGGTGAGCGTAGGACATCCAAGTGTGGAGAAGGAAACATTGTTCGCTAAGGAGCAGCCAGGAGTGCAATATGGTCAGGTGATCAACGAGGACATTGGCAACATCAAGCGACCTGCCAAGGAACCGGCAATGCCACCAAATTACCAACAGATGCCGAGCCTCCAGCAGAACTCCAACTTCCATCAGAACGGAAATGTGCCTGCATCGGGAGCTCCAGGAACGGTTTCATACCAAGAACCGCCTCCAGAGGCACCGAGTCCCTTCCAGCAGTTGCCTATGATTGGATCCAACAAGCGTCCATCAAAGAAACCAGTTGCCAAGCCAGAACAGCCTCCTCATGCCTTCCCACCACCACAAACTTCGACGCCTCTTCAGACACAACCAACTCCTTCATCTGTGAAGCAGGGTGATGACACCAAGGAGCTCCTGGTCTCCACCAACATTCGGTTCCCTGCTCAGAACGAAGAGTCGCTGGAACTTTCCTCCTCTGCCGTGATGCCAGGCCCTCCAGCGGGTCCACACATCAATGGTCACGCCCAGCCTCTTAGCCTGCAGCAAATCCAGAACTCCAATCCCGTTGTCTTTCCCAAGCCCCAGGACGAAGTGGCTCCTGGCAGTGGCAATGTGCAGATCCAGCAGCACGAAGTGCTCAACCTGAGTCAGCAGAAACCACCATTGGTGAGTCAGTTAATAACAAACAGAAAATATGTAATTATTTATATCTTTCTCCTTAGAAATTCCCTGCCCAGCAGCCTGGACTTGGCGAGCAGCCTTCGTTGGATATGGAACCACCTCCGCGGTATCCCACCACATTGCCAGTGCCCCAGGCACCACCCACTCCTGGCAAGCGACCACATGGACCACCTCCACCACCAAACTTCTATAACGAGTTCAATAGAAAGCCACAAAACGGACCGAGGCCCAGTAACCTGCCCAATATTTTGCCACAGTTCCGTCCGAATGCCAAAATCTCGAGCGGACATCCTCCTGCTTTGAAGCAGGAACCTGGAAACATTCGTCTGCCTCAGCAAGGTGGTCCCAAGCGTCCCTATAATCCCTCAGTGCCACCACAGTTTGCCCACCGCCGCCAGCCGTTGCATCAACAGCAATTGCAACAGCAGATGTTGCAGAAGCGCTATCCCATGAATCGCATCTCCGAGTACCCAGTGGGTCCGAGTCCGGGAGGAGAAGTGAACAGGAGGGTTTACAGGCTGCCCCCGTACGGTGGACAGAATATGCCCTACCTGCCCGACCACATGTATCCCCGTCGTCCCCATGGTCCCGCTCCATTGAGATCTGTTGATGGTTATCCCGCTGAGAGACACGCTCCTTCTGCTGAACCCTTCAAGACCATCGATGCCGAGGCGGCAGCTGATTTCGAGGAGGAGGATCTGGTGATCAACGACCCACCACAGCCAGTAACCCCCGGCAAGGATCGCAAGGGAGTGGAGGAGACCAAACTGGAACCAGTTGTCACCCTTCAAATGCTGCAGTCCCAGAAAAAGGCTGTTAGCTTGCCCGGCGATGATACGGGAGCGGGAGAAATTCAGGTGACGGCCGACAACGATCCTCAGGAGGCTGAGGCTTCCAAGCTAACCCAACAGAAGCTGGATCCCAGCGGAATGTACGTGGTCTTCCCGATGAAGGGCGCCGAGAAGGCTCAGGCCGAGGGAGAGGCTCCCTCAGCTCCTGCTGAGTATCAGAACACTCCCTTCTCCGTCATCCGCGATCAGCCACAGGAACCGATACTGAAGAACAAGAAATCTCAGTCGCTGCAGCAGCAAAACAAAGTGCAGCCAAAGGATAAGTTCCCCTATCCCATCGAGAAGCCGGATCCATCCTATTCTGAGCTCCATCCCGAATCGCATTCCGCTGTTCCGGGAGTTCTCGTTGCTCCAAGGATCATCACTGGGGCTATGGGAACCGGCACTGAGACCCCCATTGCCATTGCCTATACTCCAACGGAGCCGAATCCATTCCGTCATGAACAAGCTGGGCAGAAGTTCTCCAACATTAATCTAGCCACTTCGGTGATCAACGAAATCCGACAGGACACCCAAACAGAGGAGGGTCTTAGCAGCGATTTCGATCTGCGCGGTCAGAACTTCGAGAAGGACTTCATGGCGCCCTTCTATCCAAGTGTGAGTCTCGGCGGAGCCAGTGGAGCAGCAGCAGTCAACCCCGCAGCGCCGAGTAACTGGAACATTGTGCCTTCCACTACGGATCAGGCGCTCTATGAGAAGAACAACATAAACCGTGCTGATGTGGACCGATCAGAGGAAAAGAAACCGGAGGAGGAGCAGCCCACGGCCAGTCCGCTGACAGCGGAGAAGCCCTCGGAGATGGACAGCTTCCAGCCACAGCTGCAGGGTGGCTTCAAGCCCATTTACCCGCCGGGCTACAAGCACGTGGAGCAGGTGGAACAGGAGGAAATCGCAGGGGCCAAGAATGCAGCCCAAGATCAGCCAATCGCTTTGGCACTCGTGGGCACCACAGCAAAGCCACTGACATCATCCTCTTCGACCAGTAGCAGCAGCAGTTCCACCTCCACATCCTCCACAAGTACCTCCACCACCTCGACGACTCACCAGCCTGGAGTAACCAAGTCGGATGGCATTGTATCCACCACCAAGGCGCCGGGGGTCAGTCCAAAGCCCACGCAGCGGAAGAAGTCCACCTTCGAGACGAGTCTGGCGGCTCTGCTCTTCGGGGACGACGAGGAGGATGGAGCACGCAAGTCGGCGGAGCAGCCAAAGGCCCAAGCGGGACCCAGGAATGTGCCACGCATGGGTCCCCGGAGTCTGACGTTGAGTTAAGCGGGAGAGGGCTTACCCTCCTCCAAAAATCTAGTGTAGTCCAATTTTAGTTCGTATTATTTATTCAAAGTTTATTGAGACAGCCGGGAGAAGCCGCGCTTAGAGGTAGACCATGTGGTAATCTAGTTCTGTTCTACAGCTTATAGTTAGTAAGCTCACCATCCAGATATATAGACCGACGCCTCCAACAAACAACACCACCATAATCCCACGATCCCAGCGACTTTTGCGAGTCTGATTTGAAATACGAATGTTGAGAACTTTCTCATTGGACTCCCGAATCGTCGAAAATGAGATAAACGCTTTTGTATTCAATTTAACACAAAACCTTAAATAGTACTCACATTTTACAATATTACTGTACCATAGAAAACCATTTAAAATAAACATAATTCTGATAAAATAATTCAATGTCTTTGGTAAAAAGTAAAAATATGGGGTGAAGTTATATTTACTATAAAATATAGAATTAGGATTATCCATATCCTAAAATACCATATTTTTACGTTTTTCTACGTCTGTAAACAGAAGAAACAAAAAATCATTTACACATCTATTTTACATTTTCTGCAACTTAAAAAATGTTTTGCTTGCATACTTTCAGGCCTTTTACTTACGATTCATGGTTAATCCCTTTCCTTCAGTTAAATACGTTATTTTCTTTATCAGTATCTTTATTATACGAGTACAATTCAGTTTACAGTTTTCAAAATTCAATTTTCGCCTGACATGTTTTCGTTCTTCGATCTTTCGACTGCGAATGCTCACAACCGAAACTGATTTCATTTAAATGTCTGGGATGGACTGTGATTTCAATGTGGATAATATATATATAATACTTATTAATGATCGACCGAAGTCTGTAAGTGCATTAAAATGTTTGATTGGCAACCGGAAATGAATTTTAAATTCATGATTCTCTAATGTTTGGCTTCTCTTATAACCCATTAACAAGACGATGATTTGCAATGAGGTTGACGTGTTATGCTCAAATGGACGACTTACATTTCTTAACAATCTTTGCTATATCTGCTGAATCGTATGTACACACATAGTATAGTACGTTATTTACAGCTGCCTCGGAAGTCTCTTCTTTCTTAATACGTTTTTCTGTTGAACAGTTTCTAAGCTGGTAAAGTAAGATGCTTCAGTTGGAGCAATTAATTCCTAATGAACCTTCGATAAACAATCAGATTAGGGATATATTTTCCTATCATTAGTATATTGGAAACTACTAGCCAATCGAAAAAGGTGGCTCAGTCTTCGCCTTGCTCTTGCAATATGTGTAATAATTGAAGTATAATTGCAGCCGAATGCATCAACCGTATATGTAAGTTCGATTATAAAGGACACTCCGAAATCAAGTAAAACCATACATCATGTCCATAATATGCTTTTTATAAAATCTCCAATCGTTCAGCAAGTCTATGATATCGATCTGCTGGATGTAATGTATACATATGTATTTATTTGTAATGCAGATACCCACATGCTTGTAACATAATAACTAAAACTAAGTTCCTAATTCGTGATTAAGTCGATTGGGATTGGCCAATGATAAACGGGCTTGCTTCTCGAACTGATCCGGAATCATCTGTACAGTTTTCGAGGGGAAGGGAGCTTCAAGTCTTAAAACCTCAAGTGGATAAGTCTACATAGATATAACTTTGACCTTAACTGGTAATTAGTCGCTACAGGTAAAATATATGTATTGCAATATGCCATTTTATGTATGTATGTGTATGTATATTTGTATTGTATTTTAAACATAATCTTTTTATACAGAGTTTAGACAAAATCAAATAAATAGCGCGATAAAATTAATAATATATATAGTATGTAAACGTATTTATAAAGAACAGCTATGCCATTTCATAGGAGTTTACCAGCGACGGGTTTAACTAATAAGAATAAATACTTTCCATGATTGGTTTCTGAATACTCGCTAATTTAGAACAATATACTCGTATGTAGCAATGTAGATTTGAAGGACTAGGAACCAGTACGACATATGATTATGTTTATGTTAACGCATGTAAATTTTCAAACTAATACAAACGAAGTGGTCTCTTATCGTAAAGGGCATGCTTAATTTTTAGTAGAACATTTTGGCTTATTTGCAATTGCGCTCTATACACATGACAAAAAGGATATAAAGTAAAAACTAATTTACACTTGTAGGTATCATAAACTAACCAACGTTTGTGGGCAAACTAATTTGCGATTATTGTTTGTATTCTTATCAAGTGGTACTGCCAGGTGTTAAGGAATCGGGTATGCGGGTAAAAATCTCACAGAATCTAACTTAGTCGTAAGCAGACTAAAAAAAAACAGGTTGATAAATATGAATTCGGTTAATTAGCCGCCCTGCTGCTGCTTCTTTTTGTCGAATATGGGAAGCTTCGACTTGACCGCTCCTTCGCACACCATCATCCTCTGCTGCGCCGGCTTCTTGTCCAGATCGAAGCACAGGGTGTCCGCGTTCAGGTGCCGCTTGAAGTCCGAATAGCGGCGCGACTCGTACGAGAGGTAGTTGGATCCCAAGGCGGAGGCAGCCACGGCAGCTGCCACCGTTCCGTTTCCATTGCGATGGTGCACCGATGGCGGCGAGGAGTCCTGACGCTTTCGCTCAAAGTACTCCACAATCTTGGCAATCTGAGCGGATCTCGTACTGGGCAGCGCCGTAAAAGAGCGATCATCCCAGAGCAATGAATCCGATCCTGCCAAGCTGCTGATATCATCGGAGCTGTCCGTGTAGATGGACGAAGTGCGATTCTTGCAGTACAGCAGCTGGTTCGTTGCAAATGGACTGCGCTGGAGCAGCGTATGAATTTCCGAGTCCAAGGCGAGACGATTGATCAGTCCCGCAGTGGCCGCCATTTGGGAGTCACCTCCGTTTCCGCTGAGCAGCGCATGGTGGCAGGTGTAGCGTCGCTGGTGAGTGGGTCGTGATGCAACAATGTCGGCGTCCAAGTCGTCAATCGAGTCCAGCGCCGTGGATGAAGAGGTGTTGCCCCCGATCACGGCGGTATCGTTGTCGATCAGCAAAACGGACGAAGAGGTGGACGAGGTGTCGTTCAACCGGTGACTTTGCTGTTGTTGTTGGGCCGCCGCAGCGGCAGCAGTTACGGCGGCATTCGATGTGGAGGAGGCGTAGTAGCAGCAGCGACACAGACTCGCAAGTTTATCGCTAAAAAGATAAGGTTCGCAATCAGTAAAAGGTAATCAAGGATACAAGTTCAGACCCTGCTTAATGGTACCAAAACATTTAACATTTTCAAAGCTTTTTATGGTTTCTCTATAAGTATCGACGTATAAGATGATTCTACACAAATACCACATAAAACCCTGGATATTTTTGAGATAAGGTGACTTTTATGGCAGCGTGATTTCAATGCTTTTAGCAAATTAAGTCACTTACGTCGTTTGTGCGTTAGAGGCTCGATATTTATACCATTGCTGTGTTCAACCTGGGATACGTCGAAACAATTACTATACATATATTTAAAATTTTTAAGATAATTGATGAAATTATTATTCGATGATTACTAAGCTAACAACAACTACCAAGTTTATGCTATTAGTAGTTTTTGAGTAGTGACATAAAAATAACACCCATTTTTAGGAAGCATATTAATACCCGAAGTATTAAATGAAGTCAAAAAATGAAGATAAAAGAAGATATAAGGATTTGCAAGATCCCAAACATTTATATATCTAAATACCACTTTTTTTTAAGTTATTTCAAAAATCTTTTTCAATAAACTAATGAAGTAATTATACGGTTTTATAGGGCCTGATATACTCACTTGATTTCACTATCCGCGCTGACACATGCATCAAGCATAAGCTTTGCCTTCAACTTCTCGTAACAGCAGTTGCTATTGCTGGCCCCGCCGCCGCAGCCAAACCCCAACGACCCAATCCCGTACAGCTGTCCGCCGAAGCTATTATTGGTTATCGCAGCATCCGACTCCTCGTTGAAGCACGAAAAGAAGCCACTTTCGATGGAGTCCCGTCTCGTTAGGTTCGTCTTCAGGGGGAGCTGCTCGCACGAGTTCTTCAGCTCGCTCAGATCGCAGGTGTTCTTCGGTTCGTCGAGCTCCAGATCTGTGCAGGATGACACGGACGCCGGGGTCTCCACCAATCTGGCCGAGCAGCCGGAGATTGGAGTGGGTGAAGTGAGGGCCGTGGCAGCTGCACTGCAACTCGTTTGGTCTTTGGATTTCTTGGCGCTTTCAGTCAGATCCTCGCAGGAATTGGACGCGCCCGCTGAGGCGGTCAACGTGATGGTGGATGCACTGGCCTTCAGCAGAGCTGGGCTCTCGAATTCCCCGGTGCTGGTACTCTTCATGCTGGTGCCATTGGAGCCGCGAAAAAGCGGATGTGTGTACAGGGAATTCGCGCGATATTTCCGTGTTGTGGGCACAGTGGACGGACGCACGGCGCTGTCATCGCTGCTGGACTCCGCATCCGCACAGTTTCCTCCTCCGTCGGGATCCTCGCCCTCCGAAGTGCAATCGTCGCAGTCATCCTCATCCGCTGGCAATGTTGCAGGTGGTGTGGCAGCAACCACACTGGCCGCTGGAGCTGCCGCATTGCTGATCCGCTGGGGCAAACGCAGCTCGATGGAGCTGTACTTGCGCGTCATGTGCGGCGACACCGGCAGGCTCTTTGGTTCACTGGGCGTCGCTGCGGTTCCCGCTGGTTTGGCTGCCGTGGCTTCTTCTGGACTCGCACCGCCTCCCTGAGCCACCGCCTTGCTCTGCATGGCGGCCAGCTCCTTGAAGAACGGCGCCAGCGTCTCGAAGCACGAGCTAAACAGATCTCCCACTCCGGCTGCATAGGTCTTGGGATTTGCATCCAGGATCTTCTTCACGCCACGCAGCTGCGCCAGCGCTTCGAACGGATTCGGTTTGGAGCCGTTGTGATCCTTTTCGGAGGTCGGCTTGTACTGCGGATCCTTCAGACACATCGTTTCGCCCACCTTGCGCAGCGTAAGAACCGCGGAAACCGGCTGCGGAAGTGGCGGAGGATCTGGAATAGCCGTCGCGGGCAACTGAACCGAGGCCAACTGCCTGGGAGGCGTTGGCGAGTGCGTGGAGGAGCGCTGGCGCTGCATCTGATGACAACGCGCCTTGTCACTGGGTGACGTGTGCATCGGGAAGTGGATGATGTTCTCGCTCAGCGAGCGCCGGTGCAGCAGGATCTCGGCCTCCAACTTCTGGGTGGCACGACGCACCCTAGACTTCAGTACGTGATCATCGAAGCCAGTGCTTCCGGCGGACCCATTCGGCGTTCCCGGCAGCGCAGCCGAGGCGGACTTTTTACTCGGAAAACGAAAGCCATCTTCGTCCACTTCTTGCAGGTGACGCGGTGTCAAGGTGCCAGCTGGTGCCGTACAAATGGTGGCCACCGTGGGTGCTGAAGCTCGAGGGGTCGTTGTTACGTTCTCCGAGTCGCTGCCTCCTGGCGAGCAGTTAATCAGCTCCAGAGAACTCAATGGACTCGCTCCTGCCGAAGACTCGTGCTCGTACTTCTCCAACAGCAAGGTCAACTTTTTGGTAGCATCGTGGAAAGTGGGGCGGCTCTTAGCATCGTACTGTAAGTAATCAAATACATTTCAGTTGCATTCTTGGGCTAATGATAAATCAAATCTTACCAAACAACAGTAGAAAGCCAGGCGTAAAAAGACGGGGGGTGTGTCCATGGGACACAGCTCGACAAATGCCAAGTAGTCCAGGCCAAACGAGGTGGTGCGGGGCATCAGGTCCGGATCGGCTTCGATGCGGGCTATAATCTCGCACTGGATGATGCCGAAGGAGAAGACATCGCTCGTCTGGTCGTACCACTGGCCCTTCAGACACTCGGGACTGACCCAGTACGGTGAGCCGACGGTCTCCAGGCGTGATTTTCTGCTGCAAGCAAGCCCAGTTTGGATTAGTTTATGTGGTATTGATATTTGAAGGGTAATAAGATATCAGGAAGACAACAAGGATGTCAAAGAAAACTATTTCGAAACACATTATAAACTAAAGATTTGTGTTCTTTTCGAATGTGTTGTTTTAAATTTAAAATTCAAAGCTGATATTTAAGTTTTAAGGAATGGTACACTTACGATTTGACTGGTATCTTTGCGGCTAGACCAAAGTCACCCACGACGGCTTCGTACTGATCGTTGGCCAGATTGCGAATAAGTACATTCTGGAAAGGAAATCAGATTAGAATAGGAACCTCCAAGTATTACCAAGCTTTGCTTACCTTGCTCGTCAGATCCCTGTGGAAGATGCCCGCGTCGTGGACGTAGGACATGCCGCGCGCAATACCCAGCGCCAGTCTTATCTTCTGCGTGGCGCTGAGCACCACCTCCTTGTTGGCCAGCAGCTGCTCCAGGGAGCCGCCGTTGATGTACTCGGTGAGGGCGTGCAGTTGGCCCTCCTGCACGCAAACGCCCATAAAGCTAAAAATGACAAGGAAGAAACGAAAAGCTAGTTAGTTAAAGTTTGCCACTGCCACTGCATTGCAACTATTCGGATTTGGATTCGGTGTGGCCCGAATAAGTTTCACTTTCAATCACACAACTTGACAGGCGGCACTGCAGCTCCCCAGAGCCCAGATTTCTTATCGCCGGTCGACATGCAATCATCGGCCACCTCCCGCTGATTGTTAGCATTGTTTCAGCCTTGATTCGCTGCAAAATGAAATTGTAATTCGAGGCCCCATGAAGCGCAAGGAGCACGCAATAAAAAGAGAAAGTTTTCCCTCGACTGGACACACAGCTCGCTCGGCTCCTTGGGAGCGTTGAGATGGAACGCAATCTCCTAGGATTTGCAGAACAAAGAAACCACATCCTAAGTACTTCCTGTTCAGACAATGTCAATGACTCCTAAGCCTAAGGAGCTCAACCAGCCATCTACTTCTGACTCATGCTAGGAGGGAGGACGCGGTGGTGAGGTCACCAGGCAACTTGGGAACCGGAACTGTAAGCTTATTAAGAAAATGGCAACGCATGCGTCTGCCTCCTGCCAACTCCTTCCCCCACACAAAGTGTGTAGTCAGGTAAAAAAGGTTAACTTCTGCCAGACAGGGCCAACAGCAACAACAACAACAACGATGCTCCGAGGTGACAATGAACTTTGGCTCAAGTACGGAACCTTGCCCGGTTGCATCATCAAGGGAATACCCTTAGAAAATGCCTTTAGACAACGGAGCACACCTAAGAATAAACTAATTTGCTAAAAACTCCAAAACAAAAGCTTTCTTATCATAGGAAACAATTAGTTTACTCAAGAAAATTGTAACAAATATTGAAAGTAGAAATACTTCAAAGAAGACATACATTTTTGGTTCATCATGCTGAGATAGATATACCTATAGAACTATATACCCACGACCTATTGGAGCATGTGACTCAGATCCCGTGCAGGTGTTCAATACATACGCCATTCCACCTCAAATTTGACTTCTGCCAATTGGGCAAATCGGACTTTCAGGCTTATCTCGGCACATGCTTCATTTTGGCCAGCCCCAGGTTAAAGCCATGGCCCAAAGCGTGTGCCAGATAAGCTTTATCGTCCATCATGCCGCCAAGCAATTTTGCTATATAGTATGCTATATATACACAGCACATTGTATAAGCGCACAAGAAGAACTCAAGTGGCGTTTGAAAAGTTTGATTTACGTTTGTGTGGCCTCGTTTGGGCCATTAATTTTCACTTAAAATAAGAATTTATTTCATTAGGTTAGCCGCAGCGCATCAAATCCGTAATAAATTTAGCAAACTGTGTGCAGGGTGGAAGTAATTGTTTCGAGCACGCAACCTGTCACCCCAACCGCCCCGGAATAGACACCTTTCTATCAGGCTGTCAATGGAAGTGGAATAAGGACATGACAGGGTCTCCAGGGTGCGCGTGACGTCAGGGCAATCAAATGTTACCGCCACCCCGGCAAAACACACAATAACCCCGGGGTCTCTCAACGCATTAACATACGGGTTGTAAAAGGGGTTGACTTGGGTTGGCCTGTGCCACCAGTTGCATAGCGATTCGCCGGCGTTAACCGACTTGCGTGATATGCGGCATTAGGAATCACAGCAGCCCGATAGAACCATCAGCGCCCTTTGGGGCCAGCTTTATTGAAATTAGTCCGGTCAATGGCTTTCCGGCAATTAAGCCTGGACATGAGCATCACGTAAAGGGTACAGGGGAACTGCATTCATTATAAGCATGTTAGCCAAATTTGACCAATTTAACACCCAAATAATAGGCCTTTAAATAAATTATTTAAAAAAAGAAAAGGTATTATCCTGCTCAACTTGCCAATTAATTATCGTTGTGATAAACAAATTATATATTTTTTAAAAAAACTTGGAAACATATAATCACATATAAGAATTCTATTTATTGTTTGTTTCTTCTGAACAAATGAATAAGATTCAGACATATATTCAAAACTACAAAACCTTTAAGACTTGTATGCCCTCAAGGATTCCTAATTTGACTACAACATAAAAGGGGGATCGAAGATAATCCCTCTAAAAATCCTGTTCCTCTTCACAATCAATTAGTTTGGTTTCGACTGCGGAGGGCTGACTGCATTTGTGTACACAAAACGCTATTACGCTGCATAAAAATATAAAAAATTGAGATGTCTTGGGCAAGAGGGCATGACCCTTTTGAGATTCTTGATAGATGCCACGCCAGTGTGTGGCAGACACATGTCAGCCCTTCAGACGGCCCAAGGGCTCGGCTCAGCGCGGATCTGAAATGAAGTTATCACAATGGCGCGACAGCTCGATCCCAGGTGTTGAAGGAAGGCGGCAGGGGATCGGAGAACTGTGAACCGAGAACCGAGGCCCGAGGGCTTTTGTCTGCCGCACATCCTCTCCACCAACTCCACTGAATCCACGACAGGGCACACCTCTACCTCTTTCCACCACCTTCATTTATCCGACTCGTGACCGTGGGTGCAGCAGGCTGCACATCCATTTGCATGACCATCGCAGGGATTTACGGTTCTAATTCAATTTATTTCCCTGCGTGATACACGATTAGCGCCTCGAGTGAGCTGCCCCCGCCCTTTTCCTGTTGCCCATTAGCGGCTTACATTAAGAGGATTTGCCTGCCGTTAACACTTTTAATGTGTGCTTTAAGCCGTTCTCAACTCAACGTGGCTTTGAAGAAGATATCTGTTGACAGAAAGGATTTAACCTGCTCGGGGTCTCTTAATTGAAAAGTACTCAAACCAACTGGCTCCAAAAATGGAAACCAAAAATGAAAGCAACGTCGACTATCGAAAAAACAAGCCAACAATGTTTGATTGCACGACGACGAGCACTTTGTTAATTGGGCAATTAATTTATAACGCATTTATCAGCCAGGGTGCAAACTTGTTATTATTTTTGGAACGCAATGCGATTAATTAGTTAACAAAAGCGAAAACAAAGCCTTTTGCAGTGGGCGGTGCCAGACATTGAGAGGCGATGAGTTCGTCGACATCAAATTGGCTGGAAATGCGATTCGGCGGTGGCCAAACGACGAAGAGGTGTCTCTCGGTGTGCATTCTCTAAACGCCTTGCAGCAGGAAATGAATACACGTCGAGTGCCTAGACTTTAGCCCACTTCAAGAAGACGCCGAGAGCAGGAAGCGAGAACTACTCAAGCGGCTATAAACCTCTGAAACTGCCGAAGAAGCATTGTTCTGGCAGCGTTTAGGTTTTCAATTTGGTTTTAGGTTTTTTTTTTTTTTTTGTCTCTCGTTGGTTTTTCAGTTCTTTTTTCGCCAGTTTTCCATTGCAAATGGGAGATGTGATTGTGCTAAATTGAAATGTGCTGCTGCTGCTTTGGTTTGCTGGGTGTTACAATATTTGTTACAAGCATTACACTGTTTTTCCCGGGAAACGGTGTTCGTTCGCTTGGCAATTGGCAGCCGGCATTTCTCTTGCAAGTCGCAATGAAAACCATAAATTGACACGTTTGCACGTTTCTCTCGGGAGAGACTGCGCCAATTGGTTTCCCAGACTTTTCGCAGACGGAGTCGCCACTGCCGAGAGTCGAACCAAAGCCGCTAAGTGCCGCTGGCCAGCTTGGTTATTAGATAGGCTAATAAAATGCAAAATCCCGCTTGGAATTCTTTCACTCGTGTGTTGCAACCACCGCGGCGGCAAATCGAATTGGAGCATTAAAGCATTTGCGCTTAATTGAAAATTATTACCACAACATCAACGGCAGCAACAGCAGCAACACAAATTGCAACTCCAACAGCAACAGCAACAGCAAAAGCAGGAGCAGGAAAAACGGCACGATCGGGGGTTAAAAGGTTGACACAAAGTAAACAAAATTCGCTTTTAGGCAAGCAACAAATAACCCAAAGACCAGGCCCAATATCCAAATACCCAAACTCCAAATGAGACGGTGGCAGTGGAGCAGCAGACGGGGGCGTGGCAATGGGCGTTATAAATGGTCCTAAACGCTGCCAACTGCAATTACCATTCGGTATTTGCGAATGCTGGAGTAACAACAGTATTTCGAAATGAAATGATTGAATTTGGTTTTCAATTAGAAAAATATGCAAAACGTGATGCGAATATTATGCAGATTGCAGCTGCAGCAACAGCAACACAAGCAGCAACACAAGCAGCAGCAACATCCAGTGTTTGTGAGCCAGCAGCAACATCCAACAAACAATAAGTTGCTGCCACTTCCTCTTCTTGTTTTCTCCGCTGACCGATTTCCAGGCTAGATGTGCATGCGGCCCAAAAAGAAAGCTCATGGTATGGGTGTTGCATAAATCTGAATATCTAATGCTCGCTTTTTGTTGTGCAAAATTGATTGAAGTGTATTGAAATTGATTGAAAGTTGATGACATAATTTCGTACGAAACGCAGGCCAGAGACAAAAGACAAATGGCCAAACGCAAACGCAAATTGGAAGTGAATGTTGGCAGCCAACAACGTTGGCCAAAAGACGCCGTCCGTTTGGTGAGAGATGTTTTATGGGACATCGGCCTGACACGTTTATTCACAACTTTATGGCTTTATTTTTTCATGCGGAAGTGGACAATTTCAAGTGCGATTTATGCAGACAAATACGAGGCGATTTATCGCTGGGAGATAAACTAAAAATCCAGCAAGCCCAGTAGTGAGTAATTGCCGTCAAGAAACTTGTTACAACACGGCAGCACGCAACAACAACAACAACTGCAAAGCGAACTGGAATGCAAGGCAGCTCAATAAATTCCAATCTGTATCTGTATCTGCATCTGTCTCCGAAACACTGTGTACTGTGAGATACATATTATTAGTCATGCTCATTTTTTCGGGCACATCAATCCTGCTGCTGCTGCTGCTGCTGCTGCGCTTCTTTTTTATACATTTTTTTACATGTGTTGGCACTTACAGCAGAGACACAACAAAATGTAACAATACAGCGGGTTCAATGACTTGCAATTGCGTCGCTGTAG